TGCATGTGATTTAGAAAGACGGCTGGCGCCAGACCGACCATCATTTGCACCATTTGAGCGATTTTCGGACGTTCTGATGCCATTATAAAAAAACTAGTTGTGCCCATAGAATGACCAATATATGTGTGCAATGGTTGGGATCTCATATTGGTGATAAATGTAATCATCGCGGGTAAATCATAGATGCCCATTTCATGAAAGCTAATGAAAAATTTATTCGATACACATGAAATATATAAATATGCATACGATCACACATATACAGAGAAAATAAATATAATTTGCATACATATATAGTATATAATATATAAAGTGTTATGTAAAAACAGAAATTAAAATTCTGCACAAAGAATGATTAAACTAAGAATCAAGAAAAAATAGCAAATGTATTATATTGGCATAAGAAGCAAGATATTTTGAAAACAATGCATTTTTGAAAATATAAATAAATATATATACAGGGTGGAGCATTTATAGTGACACAAGCAATTTTTTTCGAAAACGAAGCGAGATATAAAAAAATATTATATATACAGGGTGTCCCAGTTATCTTCCGTCATCTTTCAAAGACAGATTCCTGGAATCATTTGAAGACGACTTTTCCTCAGAAAATGTCAACAAAAGCCATCAATTTTTGCATGTTCCCGATTTTTGTCATCATATATCTTTGCAATTAAGTCTTAATATAAAACTCAACTAAAATAAACTCTATTTAAAATTAATCGAAGAATGTGGTTTTGTTAATATTTTATTTCTACAAAGCTTAGTTTACGAAAAACCCCATATTTCCAATCACTTATAATTCGAAAATTATTAGCCTCGACATTTTTGTTGAGGAAAAATCGTCTTCAGATATTCGTCCCAGGAATCTGTGTTTGAAAGATGACGGAAAATAACTGGGACACCCTGTATATATATACATATATGCATATAATAAGTTAAACAAATCCTTCCGTCAAATTAAAATAAATATTGCAAAAATTATTATTTTATTTTTATAGCATCATTACTCTTATTTTATGCTAGTATTTTATATTATATTATTTTATACCTGAAATTCCAAAATGTCGTATTCAAAGGAGACAGGAAAATATGCGCCTTCGAGTATGTATTACCTCGAAAATTACCCAACCAAACATCGTATCCCTGATCCGCTAATAAGTAAGCTAAAGTAAACATAAATATTGTATGTGTATTTATGATATTACTTACATTTTTATATCTCATATTATAACACAAACATTCAAATTTTTTGGCATTGTTGCGATAAAAACGAAATTAATGATATGATAACAGTTTTGTGATACATGTATGAATTCAAAAATCGATTGACGATCATACCGAATGCTTTGCCTTTGCCAAGAACAACCCAGTCAGCGGAGCTGCAGAAAAGACCATGCTGCACCAGCACGGGTAAAGAATCATTGCCACCTGGGATACGATGTAACGTCAAGAGATAGCCATCCTCCGTCATTACAACGTGAGATTCCGCGGGATAACCCGCTTTTCTGATCATCTCCGGCTGAAAAAGGACTTTGTAAGAAATAGGAAAAAATTATCTGGGAATAAATTCGAGCAACAAGAAATACATAATATATTTCTTTTTATAGGCATATGCATGCAGACATATATATTTCACGTTATTTTTCGTTTTAAAATAATGAAAGAAGAGAAATTTAATATTAATTGAACAGTATTAATAATTGAATATTAAATCAATTCTTCACACAAAAGCAACAAAAAAATATAAAAATACTCTTATATGTATTTTTAAAGATTATAATTAGTATAATTTTGCGGAACTATGCGATTTTCGTCTTGAATAAGAGAACGCGGCCAGTAACAGCAGATTACTTTTTATCACTTTCAACATTTAAGAAATTAATCGAATCGAGAATTAAAGAATTTAATCCTCGTTTTTTTATGAATGAAAACTTTCATTTACCGTATCGAGGATAGAATCAGTATTAAATTCGATTTTCGACTCATTCCAATTAGTCCATATTATTCTCCTAATGAGCACACTTATCTCAGAGGTCACATTTATCGGGGCCGCACTAAGATGACTACAAAACGGCAGCAAATACATAAGCCCGATCAATTTCATTTCGAAGAATAATTCAATAAACAGTAAAAGGAAACGGATAATTCGAGAGTTTTTTCGAGATATCGAGATATGTCGTAGAAAATAGAGTAGAACACGCGAAAGCGATATAGGTACTACTGCGCGACATAGATACTAACTGCTATTTACGCTGCGTACCATCATATTAGAATGAATCGTCATTTTATTATGCTTATTTTTATTAGCTAGAAAAAAAAGAATAAGAAAAAGATATTATTGTATTATTAATGAGTACAAAGGCATTTCGCAAAAAATATAAATTTATATGTAGCAGTTGTCCTTGTCCTCAATATTTGTACATATAGGATGACCAAATGATAAAGACGGAAGAGTAATAAAATGCGTAAAATTAAATTATAAAATAAATGTAAAATTAACGTAAAATTAAATTATGAGATAAAGATTTATTGCGATCTAAGCGAGAAATATATCGTGAGTCAGAGTGGAAAGCAGTTGTCGATCCGATTTTGTAGAGAGGAATCGTCCCTTTCACTCTTCTTCTAAATGGAGAAAAAATTGCCGTGATAGACAAAATAGTCCCGTCATATATAAATGCAAATTGGATCTTCTTCTTCCCGAATATCGAGCCAATTAACTCGTTACGTGTTCGATTATTATTCTTATTTATCGTTGCAATATTGATGGAAATAATATTTTGCATACTTTTATCCTGACTTTCGGGAAAACAACATTTATTTCGAAGCAAAGAAAGGTGTTTCCTCTAAATAAGAAACTTAAAATAAAAAGTACTGAATAATTAATACATTGCTCTCCTCTGTTACTGGCAACATGTCATATTAAAATTTAAATGTTATAGCTCATGTATACAAAATAAGTTGCCAAATTTACAACATAAAGTAAAAAACACGTATAAATGTGGACTAAATTATTTTTAATCCATTTTTAATGGATTGAACATTTATTTACTGTTCGAAAAATCTGCTGGTAATTCTTATCGCGCTTTTCGTTTTATTGCAATTTTCGAAAACTTCTGTCATAATCAAATATATATGTACATTTCATGTGTATAGAATGTCGTAATATTCTACATTTCATGTAGAATATATGTATATATATATATATATGTATATATATATATTTTTTTTTTTAATTTTATATATATATATATATATATATATATATATATATTATTAGTAATATTATTAATATATATTATATGTTTATATTTTAAATAAAATACGTAAACGTTTACTCTATTATATTCGAACAGTTTTTTTCACAACCAATTCGAATGATTGGTGTTATTGCCATCGTAATTACACAAAAATAGATCAATATGAATATGTATGATAAATTGCAAAAAAAATCGCTTTAAGAATTATATAAATTCATTTAACTTTCCATCTAAATTTCAGTTTCGAATTAAAAAGCGACGTTTTCAAGCATTTTTTCAGCTTTGGATATTAAGAAAAATCAATACTTTAGTTCTAATTTTAAGATTAGTTTTTGGTTTAGGTTAAGTTAGGTTAAGTTAGAATAAGATTATATTATATATTGTAAGAGATTGAAACCCTGAGGGGAACAATAAAATTCATACAAACAATACTTTAGTTCTAATTTCCATGAGTTATAAATAAGTTATAATTTCCATAAGTTATAAATAAGTTATAATTTCCATAAGTTATACATTTATCATTTTGAGAATTACATAGAGATTTTAATGTTTTTCGATTAAATCCATTTAATTCAAAATAATCTCTTGCACTTGGCTCAAGTGTAATAACATTTGCCAGCGCTGAATCGGAATGACCGCAAAATGTCACACTAAATACATATGTACAATCCCGATCAATCTCATCGATCGATAGAGTGATTGAAATAAAATTTGAAAAATAAAAAATTTAAAGAATAAAAAATTTTAAAAATGAACGATGTAAGAATTTTGCGACTTTATTGCCGAAGAAAATAAGTATAAAAGTAAAAGTAAGATAAATACAGCTGCTCGTAATAGTTAATTATTTAATGTTACAACAAATCTTTATTTTATGAACGAGTTTTTTTCATTAACTCTGAAAGAAAGAAAGAAATAATATTATTGTCTTATCAGCACTGAATCGGAATGACTGATATGTCACTAAATACATATACACGATCAATCTCATAGGATCGGTCGATAAAGTGATTCTATAAAAAATTTAAAAAATGGACGATGTAATAATTTTGCAACGCATTATCGAAGAAAATAAGTATAAAAGTAAAAAAGTTAAACACAATGGCTCATAATCATTAATTAATTAACATTATAATAAATCTTCATTTTATTAACGATTTTCTTTTATTATCGATGAGGAAATTAAAGAAATAATATTATCGTCTTATTAGCCATACAATCATAACGTATTTCGGAAAATGCATATTGCAGAAGGTAAGTTGCCGAAATTGCAATATAGAACAATAAAACTAACAGCAAGTACGTTACAATACAATATATACAATATATAAATTTGAGTATAATATTGTTTACTGCAGATTAAAAAAAAGGAGAAAATTAATTAATATTTTGATTACAAATGCATAGAAAGTGCATAAAAAAAACTTGCTGAAATATTATGTATTGTATAATTCGAAAAAAGTGTATACTGTAATCGCAAAAATAAAATTAAGTGACTCAAACACCATAATGAATATAATATTAAACATATAAAAAACCACAACATAGGTCTAATAATCATATATAAGACAAGACAGATGAAAAATAACTGGAAATTAGATGTTTTTAAATTAGTTGTTCCATCTGTAAATTATAAAAACAATGTTGCTCTCGAATCTTTAAACGCTTAATAAACATTTTTGGATATTGTAAATAATATTAAAATATTAGAAGTTTACGTTTCATTGAATGACCGATTACAATCATCAATATTACCGAAGATCTAGCGTATAAGATTTATCTTTAATTTTGATTGCTGACAATATTATTCCACTGATGTAACGTTGTTTGGATTTTCTCTTCTCATGATCTTGAGAATCTTGTCATATACGAGTTTTGATGCATCTTTAGCCCACATAAAATCCGCATGATTGAATTTGGACCATGGCACTTCGTACATATCCACTACATTTGGCAGTGAATGGTATAATCTTTTCACATCCTTGAAGAAATATTTTTGTGAGCTATCGTATGCGATTTCTTTTAAATTACCTCTCCAATCAAGTAATTTAAAATTCGATTTATATACAATCAAGTTTCCTTACTATTTACAATTCCATTATTTAAATAAATACCTATATTCCATTGCGTACCTCTGTGCTGATTATCCAGTCATTATCGGCGTAAAACAACGCGACTGGTACTGTAATATTCGATAAATCATAATTCGGTGGTTCTGTAGAATTATAGATCAACAGATTTTTTACGCGACCGTAATCGTATTTGCGAAACTTGGCCGATTCAAATATTTGGGCGTAATGAAATAGTGTTTTAGCCGAGGCGCCGGCCGGGGTGTGACTCAGAATGACAGGTAGCAGGGACTATAATAATAAATAGAAAATAATAATGAAATATACAAGAAGTTCGAAGTGAAGCGTGATTGTGAAATGACGGAATGCGATGATCGAAGATTCGATCGGAATTGTATGTCGACTGTAAATTATTACTTACGTAGCTAAACTGCTCGCGATCATCACCCCAAATCATAAACATAAAATTGGAGCAGATCTCTTCAAGACTAATATTCTGGTCGCAGATGTTTTCCGCGAAAAATCTCACCAAGTTGCTTTGAAGGAATTCATCATGGAAGAACAATCGCATTACTATCTGTAATTGAAAATCTTTTAATCATTATATAATTCAATTGTAATTCTTCTTTGAGCGTTTGAAACTTTTAACGATTTTGGAAATGAATTAATATATTTTTAACAAATTTTTTTAACAATTTAAATTAACCTTAATAAATGTTTCAAGAGATATTTTAATTTTAACTCGTCGAAGATAACTTCTTAAAATTGAAACCAAAAATTGAATATGTACAATATAGAGAAACATGAAAAAAGTAAATTTGTAAACGTTTAGAATTAAAATTTTCGAAAATTTTATAAAGAAAGAATCTGTTGCACTTATAATTTATATTTTATTACATAAGACATATCTTCTTTTTCTTATTTTACCAGAAATTTGTCTGCCAGGAATTTGCATTCTGATTGATGAAAATAAGAATTGAGAAATAGTACATTAAATTAATAACATATAAAATAGCATGAGCAATAAATGTGCACATCGATCAATCACAGTCTAATATTTTTTTGTGGAACGCTTATTTGATTTAAGTAGCTAATCAGTAATATCAATTTGATTATTACTAACATTATATTACTTATATTTTTTTATATACCATTACATTTACTTCTAATGCCGTTAACATTATTTTTCCTTTTTCAGATAACAGTTTACAAATTTTATCTGTAAAATAAAAGTACAAAAATGTGCTTTATTTTTTCATATTGTTTAAACTTTGTTATTACGTGAAACGGTTAAACTTTGTTATTACGTGATAATAAATTATATCCCGTGTAGAAAATTATTAATGCTAGTACATGAAACTATTGGCCCCGATAAGGAATTTTAATGTTAATTTAACGGAAGGCAAGTATGTAAATAAATAACACAAGTAATATGTTTAAAAATTAACACAAAAATGTAACACTTAAACTTTATCTGGAAATAAAGTTTATGTTAAATTAATATATTTATAATGTTAAATTTAATTAAAAGAAAATGTTATTCTTACATTTTTATGATCAATAACAGAAGAGATGTGTCGATTTAACATATGGAAACTGTTATAGAGTTAAAAATAATACAACTTATCTGTTCATTTTAACATATAAATTCATCAAAAATTCGTGGATTTACATATTAATTGTGTTGTTTTAAGACTCTTAGAAACGGTGAATATTAACTCAATGCAGAAATGTCAAAATAACGCAATGATAATATGTTATATTAACATAAGAGTATGTTAAAAATTTAACATAAAAATTTTTCCACGAGAAAATTTTAACAGAAATACAAAATGTTTTTTACCGTGTAGGGTCCAAGCGTTCTATACCTACATCTACAGAAAAGATTTCCAAATTTAATGCTATCACACTTCAATCTATCATAAAATAGGATCGATATAGTGACAATCATATTTTTTATTAAAAAAAGAATATTTTAATCTTAAATGGAAAATTCTTAAATCTAGAATGAAATGATCCTGACACTATCTGCAAAAGATGATAGACGCATATCAGTTTCGCGCAACTACTGACGCAAATATCAAATTATTCTAAGTGCAAGAATATATAGCTTAGATTTCTTTATATTATTCTTGTTTTCAGATTATAAAGACAATCTTATTTAATTCGAGAGAGAAAAATAAAAATTATTATTTTAGTTTTAAAATTGTTTCATTTTTATACTACATAAGATTATGACCGGATTAACTGTGTCAAGAATATTTTTCGTCTTGTTAGAAGAAATCCTTTCTGAGAGGATAGTAAAGCCCAGTCGATTTTAAGGCATATTAATTAAGTCCTTTTTAAAAAAAGGTTCCTTATTACTTTTTCTACACGGGATATCTTTTAACAGTATCACCATTATATACTTTACCTTAAGCACACTACTAAATGGGATCAAGTATTGTATTGGATTCTGCATGTGATTTAGAAAGACAGCTGGCGCCAGACCGACCATCATTTGCACCATTTGAGCGATTTTCGGATGTTCTGATGCCATTATAAAAAAACTAGTTGTGCCCATAGAATGACCAATATATGTGTGCAATGGTTGGGATCTCATATTGGTGATAAATGTAATCATCGCGGGTAAATCATAGATGCCCATTTCATGAAAGCTAATGAAAAATTCATTCGATACACATGAAATATATTTATAAATATGCATACGATCACACATATACAGAGAAAATAAATATAATTTGCATACATATATAGTATATAATATATAAATTGTTATGTAAAAATAGAAATTAAAATTCTGCACAAAGAATGATTAAACTAAAAATCAAGAAAAAATAGCAAATGTATTATATTGGCATAAGAAGCGAGATATTTTGAAAACAATGCATTTTCGAAAATATAAATAAATATATATACAGGGTGGAGCATTTATAGTGACACAAGCAATTTTTTTCGAAAACGAAGCGAGATATAAAAAAATATTATATATACAGGGTGTCCCAGTTATCTTCCGTCATCTTTCAAAGACAGATTCCTGGAATCATTTGAAGACGACTTTTCCTCAGAAAATGTCAACAAAAGCCATCAATTTTTGCATGTTCCCGATTTTTGTCATCATATATCTTTGCAATTAAATCTTAATATAAAACTCAACTAAAGTAAACTCTATTTAAAATTAATCGAAGAATGTGGTTTTGTTAATATTTTATTTCTACAAAGCTTAGTTTACGAAAAACCCCATATTTCCAATCACTTATAATTCGAAAATTATTAGCCTCGACATTTTTGTTGAGGAAAAATCGTCTTCAGATATTCGTCCCAGGAATCTGTGTTTGAAAGATGACGGAAAATAACTGGGACACCCTGTATATATATACATATATGCATATAATAAGTTAAACAAATCCTTCTGTCAAATTAAAATAAATATTGCAAAAATTATTATTTTATTTTTATAGCATCATTACTCTTATTTTATGCTAGTATTTTATATTATATTATTTTATACCTGAAATTCCAAAATGTCGAATTTAAAGGAGACAGGAAAATATGCGCCTTCGAGTATGTATTACCTCGAAAATTACCCAACCAAACATCATATCCTTGATCCGCTAATAAGTAAGCTAAAGTAAACATAAATATTGTATCTGTGTATTTATCATATTACTTACATTTTTATATATCATATTATAACACAAACATTCAAATTTTTTGGCATTGTTGCGATAGAAGCGAAATTAATGATGTGATAACAGTTTTGTGATACATGTATGAATTCAAAAATCGATTGACGATCATACCTAATGCTTTGCTTTTGCCAAGAATAATCCAGTCAGCGGAGCTGCATAAAAGACCATGCTGCACAAGAACGGGTAAAGAATTGTTGCCACCTGGGATACGATGTAACGTCAAGAGATAGCCATCCTCCGTCATTACAACGTGAGATTCCGCGGGATAACCCGCTTTTCTTATCATCTCCGGCTGAAAAAGGACTTTGTAAGTAATAGGAAGAAATTATCCGGGAATAAATTTGAGCAACAAGAAATACATAATATATTTCTTTTTATAGGCATGCAGACATATATATTTCGCGTTATTTTACGTTTTAAAATAATGAAAGAAGAGAAATTTAATATTAATTGAACAGTATTAATAATTGAATATTAAATCAATTCTTCACACAAAAGCAACAAAAAAATATAAAAATACTCTTATATGTATTTTTAAAGACTATAATTACTATAATTTTGCGGAACTATGCGATTTTCGTCTTGAATAAGAGAACGCGGCCAGTAACAGCAGATTACTTTTTATCACTTTCAACATTTAAGAAATTAATCGAATCGAGAATTAAAGATTTTAATCCTCGTTTTTTATGAATGAAAACTTTCATTTACCGTATCGAGAATAGAATCAGTATTAAATTCGATTTTCGACTGATTCCAATTAGTCCATATTATTCTCCTAATGAGCATACTTATCTCAGAGATCACATTTATCGAGGCCGCACTAAGATGACTACAAAACGGCAGCAAATACATAAGCCCGATCAATTTCATTTCGAAGAATGATTCAATAAACAGTAAAAGAAAACGGATAATTCGAGAGTTTTTTCGAGATATCGAGATGTGTCATCGAAAATCGAGCAGAACACGCGAAAGCGATATGGGTACTACTGCGCGACATAGATACATAGATACTGCCATTTACCCTGCGTACCATATTAGAATGTGTCGACATTTTATTATGCTTATTTTAATTAGCTAGAAAAACAAGAAGAAAAAAAAATTGTATTATTAATGAGTACAAAGGCATTTCGCAAAAAATATAAATTTATATGTAGCAGTTGTCCTTGTCCTCAATATTTGTACATATAGGATGACCAAATGATAAAGACGGAAGAGTAATAAAATGCGTAAAATTAAATTATAAAATAAATGTAAAATTAACGTAAAATTAAATTATGAGATAAAGATTTATTGCGATCTAAGCGAGAAATATATCGTGAGTCAGAGTGGAAAGCAATTGTCGATCCGATTTTGTAGAGAGGAATCGTCCCTTTCACTCTTCTTCTAAATGGAGAAAAAATTGCCGTGATAGACAAAATAGTCCCGTCATATATAAATGCAAATTGGATCTTCTTCTTCCCGAATATCGAGCCAATTAACTCGTTACGTGTTCGATTATTATTCTTATTTATCGTTGCAACATTGATGGAAATAATATTTTGCATACTTTTATCCTGACTTTCGGGAAAACAACATTTATTTCGAAGCAAAGAAAGGTGTTTCCTCTAAATAAGAAACTTAAAATAAAAAGTACTGAATAATTAATACATTGCTCTCCTCTGTTACTGGCAACATGTCATATTAAAATTTAAATGTTATAGCTCATGTATACAAAATAAGTTGCCAAATTTAGAACATAAAGTAAAAAACACGTATAAATGAGGACTAAATTATTTTTAATCCATTTTTAATGGATTTGAAATGGATTTGAACATTTATTTACTGTTCGAAAAATCTGCTGGTAATTCTTATCGCGCTTTTCGTTTTATTGCTATTTTCGAAAACTTCTGTCAAAATCAAATATATATGTACATTTCATGTATATAGAATGTCGTAATATTTTACATTTCATGTAGAATATATGTATATATATATATATATATATTTTTTTTTTAATTTTATATATATATATATATATTATTAGTAATATTATTAATATATATTATATGTTTATATTTTAAATAAAATTACGTAAACGTTTACTCGATTATATTCGAACAGTTTTTCTCACAACCAATTCGAATGATTGGTGTTATTGCCGTCGTAATTATACAATAGTAGATCAATATGAATATGTATGATAAATTGCAAAAAAAATCGCTTTAAGAATTATATAAATTCATTTAACTTTCCGTCTAAATTTCAGTTTCGAATTAAAAAGCGACGTTTTCACAAGCATTTTTTCAACTTTGAATATTTAGAAAAATCAATACTTTAGTTCTAATTTTAAGATTAGTTTTTGGTTTAGGTTAAGTTAGGTTAAGTTAGAATAAGATTATACAGGTTTTTATTTAATATTTCGTTAATTATTGCGACAATCCCAAAACAATGCAGGTCATTCCTTCTTAATTCGAGCCAATCTACTTATTTATTTCATTTTGGTCGAAAATCGACGGACACTCTGTATATTGTAAGAGATTGTAACCCTCAGGGGAAATTCATACATACAATACTTTAGTATTGTAAGTTTTCCTTTAGTTCTAATTTCCATAAGTTATAAATAAGTTATAATTTCCATAAGTTATGCATTTATCATTTTGAGAATTACATAGAGATTTTAATGTTTTTCGATTAAATCCAGTTAATTCAAAATAATCTCTTGCACTTGGCTCAAGTGTAATAACATTTGCCAGCGCTGAATCGGAATGACCGCAAAATGTCACACTAAATACATATGTACAATCCCGATCAATCTCATCGATCGATAGAGTGATTGAAATAAAATTTAAAAAATAAAAAATTTAAAGAATAAAAAATTTAAAAAATGAACGATGTAAGAATTTTGCGACTTTATTATCGAAGAAAATAAGTATAAAAGTAAAAGTAAGATAAATACAGCTGCTCCTAATAGTTAATTATTTAATGTTACAATAAATCTTTATTTTATGAACGAGTTTTTTTCATTAACTCTGAAAGAAAGAAAGAAATAATATTATTGTCTTATTAACCATATAATCGTAACGTATTTCGGAAAATGCATATTGCAGAAGGTAAATTGCCGAAATTGCAATATAGAACAATAAAACAACAAGTACGTTACAGCAAGTACGTTACAATACAATATATACAATATATAAATTTGAGTATAATACTGTATTGTTTACTGCAGATTAAAAAAAAGCAGAAAATTAATTAATATTTACATTACAAATGGATAGAAAGTGCATAAAAAAAACTTGCTGAAATATTACGTATCGTATAATTCGAAAAAAGTGTATACTGTAATCGCAAAAATAAAATTAATTGACTCAAACACCATAATGAATATAATATTAAATATATAAAAAATCACAACATAGGTCTAATAATCATATATAAGACAAGACAGATGAAAAATAACTGGAAATTAGATGTTTTTAAATTAGTTGTTCTATCTGTAAGTTATAAAAACAATGTTATCCTCGAATCTTTAATTGCTTAAACATTTTTGGATATTATAAATAATATTAAGATATTAGAAGTTTACGTTTCATTGAATGACCGATTACAATCATCAATATTACCGAAGATCTAGCGTGTAAGATTTATTTTTAATTTTGATTGCTGACAATATTATTCCACTGATGTAACGTTGTTTGGATTTTCTCTTCTCATGAGCTTGAGAATCCTGTCGTATACGAGTTTTGACGTATCTTTAGCCCACATAAAATCCACATGATTGAATTTGGACCACGGCACTTCGTACATATCCACTACATTTGGCAGTGAATGGTATAATCTTTTCACATCCTTGAAGAAATATTTTTGTGAGCTATCGTATGCGATTTCTTTTAAATTACCTCCCCAATCAAGTAATTTAAAATTCTATTTATATATAGTCAAGTGATTCCTTACTATATACAGCGTGTCCCAAAAGTCCCGGACTGGTCGAATATTTCATAAACTGTGCACTTTAGAGAGAAATGTTTCAGACAAAAGTTGTATGGCTTGAAAGGGGCCATCAGACAGTGGCAATGATTTGACATGGGAGAGTCATTTGAAAGTTACGTGAAGATCACCGACAATTTCTTAAATGGAACGCTCTATTTTTTATTACATATTCGTGTAGCTTATCTCGGGAGCTTTCCAAAATACTATAATTAAATATTTATTTATTGAGTACTTTTCGAGTTATGAGGCTTGAAATCATTTCTTAATTTTACATAAAATATCTTGTAAAATATTCATTTTTCGATTATCTTACCTTAGTAATTTTATGTACAAAATAATGAGAGGAATCAATTGGTGTAAAGAAAACACATAATTGTTTTAAAAAAAAAAATGTAATTGTTAATTGCAAATTACATATTTTTTTCTTAAAAACAATTATGTTTTTTCTTTACACCAATTGATTGTGTAAGAAAACGGAAAACTGATCTGAACTGGGAATAATTTGAGCAACACGAAATGCATAATATATTTATTATTATAGGCATATGCATGCAAACATACAAATTTCACATTATTTTGAAATAAAAAAAGAAGGAAAATTTAATGTTAATTGATCAATATTAATAATTAAATATTAAATCAACTTTCCCAAAGCAACAAAAATATATAAAAATACTATTCTATGTATTTTTAAAGACTACGATATAGTATAATTTTGCGGAACTATGCGGTTTTCGTTCTGAATAAGATAACGCGAACAATAACAGCAGATTACTTTTTGTCATTTTCAACAACATTAAAAAAATTAATCGGAACATTAAAGATCCTCTATTTGATTTTCGTTTCTATGAACGAAAACTTCAATTACCGTGTCGAGAGTGGAATCAGGATTTAATTCGATGTTCGACTGATTTCAATTAGTCCACATTATATTCTCAATGAGCATATTTATCTCATCGGTCCCATTTATCAGGGTTGCACTAAGATAACTACAAAACGACAGGAAATACATGAGCCCGATCAATTTCATTTTAATGAATGCTTCAATAAACAGTAAAGGAAAGCGGATAATTTCAGGAGTTTTTCGAAATATCGAAATATAATATATGTCGTTGAGTATTAAGCTGAAAACGCGAAAGCGATATAGGTACTACTGCACGATATAAATACTAACTGCATTTAACACTTTGCATACCATTATATTAGAATGAATCATTATTGTATTTATGACTACTTTTTATCAGCTCGCAAAAAATAATAAGAAAAGTATTATTAAAGTATTATTAATCATGTGAGCACAAAGAAATTTCAAGAGAAATATAAATTTATATATAAGCGGTTATTCTTGTCCTCAAAATGTGTACATATAGAGTGAACAAATGATAAAGACAAAAGAGTAATAAAATGAAAGAGTAATAAAATTAAATTATAAAATAAATGTAAAATTAACGTAAAATTAAATTATAAAATAAAGAATTTTTGTGATCTGAGCGAGAAGTATCGTGTGTCAGAGTGGAAAGCGGTTGTCGATTCGATTTTGTAGAGAGAAGTCGTCCCTTTCGGTACTTCTTCTCAATAGAGGTTCTTACGAGAATATTGCGGTGATAGAAAAAGCAGTACCATCACTTATAAATACAAAATGAATCTTTTTGTTCCCGAATACCGAAAAATTAATTCGATATATGTTCGATTATTACTATTATTTATCGTTGCTACGTTGATAGAGATAATATTTTGCATACTTTTATCCTGGCTTTCGAGAAAACAACATTCATTTCGAAAGCAAAGGAAAGGAGTTTTCAACTCAAAGTACATTGCCTTCCCTTGTTACTGCCAACATGTCATATTTAAATTTAAATGTTATTGCATATGTATACAAGATAAATTGCCAAATTTACAGCATAAAGTCAAAAACGCGTATATATGAGGACTAAATGATTTTTAATTCTTGGATTCAACTTTTATCTGCTACGAAAAATTTGTTGCTAGTTCTTATGTCGCTTTCTATCTGTTTTATTGCAATTTTCGAAAACTTCTGCCGAAATTAAATATATATGTACATTTTATGTAGAATATGTATATATGTATATATTCTTTATAAAATTATATATACATTTAATCGATTATATTTGAACAATTTTTCTTATAGCAAATTCACATGATTCGAATAACTTCTCTGATAATTATACAAAGGTAGATACATATGCATATGTATGATAAATCGCAAAATAGAATCGCTTGAGGAATTATATAAATTTAATTAACTTTTCGCCTAAATTTCAGTTTTGAATTAAAAAGCGGGAATTGTTTTCAAGCATTTCTTAATAGCATTTAAAGAAAACTAAGAAAAATAAAAGTTCTAGAAAAATAAATTTAATTTAAAAAGAAAATTAAAAGTCTAAGAAAAATTTTAGTTCTCATTTCAATGAGATATAAAAATGCACTTACCGTTTTGAGATTTACATATAGATTTTAATATCAGTCAAATCCAGTTAATTCAAGATATTTTCTTGCCCTTGTTCGAGTGTAATAACATTTACCATTTTTGAATCGGAACGACCGCAAAATGACACTAAATACAAATACACAATTAATCTCACAACATCGATCGATAGAGTGATTCAATAAAAAAAATGTAATGTGAATAAAGAGTTTTGCGATGTATTATCGAAGAAAATAAGAATAAAAGTAAAAGTGATAAATACAACTACGTGTAACAGTTGGGCACTTATTATATCACTTAGTGTTACAACAAATCTTTATTGGTGATTTTCTTGTATTAATTATAAGGTAAAGAAAGAAATAATATTATCGTCTTATTAGCCATACAATCATAACATATTTCGGAAAATGTATATTGTAGAAGGTAAATTACCGAAATTGCAATAAAGAACATTAAACTACCAACAAGTACATTACCATATAATATATATAATATATAAGTTTATATGTATAATATTGTATTGTTTAACAATTTTCAAAAATATCCAAGAAAATTAATTATTTTTATTACAAACGGATAGAAATTATATATATAAAAAAAATTGGTGAAGTATTTTGCATCGTATTATGTGTCGTATAATTCAGAAAATATGTACACTGTAATCGTAAAAATAGAATCAAATGACTCAAACACCAAAATGAATATAATATTAAACATCTAAAACAATAGGTCTAATAATCATATATAGGACAAGACAAGTGAAAAATAACTGGCAATTAAATGTTTCTAAATTAGTTGTTTCATCTACGAGTTATAAAAACAATTTTGCTTCCGATGAACGCTTAGTAAACATTTTTAGATGTTGTAAAGAATACTAAGATATTATATTAATAAGTTTACATTTGATTGAGTGAATGATTATAATCATCACATTACAACATTACTGAAAATCTAGAGTGTAACATTTAGCTTTAATTTTGATTGTTGACAATATTATTTGATTGATGTAACGTTTTTTGGATTTTCTCCTTTCATGATCTTGAGAATCATATCGTATACGAGTTTTGGCGCATCTTTTGCCCATATAAAATCCATATGATTAAATTTGGACCACGGCACTTTGTACATATCCACATTGGGCAGTGAATGGTACAACCTTTTCACATCCTTGAAGATATATTTTTGTATCGCATGCGATTTCTTTTAAATTACCTTTCCAATTAAGTAATTTAATATTGGATTTATAATATATTTATAGTCAAGTAATTTCTTCCGACATACATTTCCATTATTTAAATAAATACCTATTTTCCATTACTTACCTCTGTGTCAACTATCCAGTCATTATCGGCGTAAAACAACGCGATTGGTACTGTGGTATTCGATAAATTATAATTTGGTGGTTCCGTCGAATTATAAATCAATAGATTTCTCTCGCGACCGTAATTGTATTTGCGAAATTTGCCTGATTCAAATACCTGGATGAAATGCAGAATAGTCTTAGTCGAGCTGCCGGCCGGGAAATTTTTCAAGATGACAGGCAGTAGAGTCTAACAATAGATGAAAAATAATAATGATATATATGAAGTTTCATCTGAAGTGATCACGCGATCGTGACATCATCACGAAATGTAGTGTTCAAAGATTCGATCGGAGATGTATTTCAACAGTAAATTATTATTACTTACATTGTTAAATTGCTCGCAATCATCACCCCAGATCATAGACAGCATATTGGAACAAAATTCAATGTTCTGGTCACAGATATCTTCCAAAAGAAATCTTACAGAATCACCGAGGAATTCATCGTGAAAGAACAATTGCATCGCCAACTGCAAATATCTTAAATATCTTAATAACAATGTAATTTATTGCAAATTTTGTAACTTTTCATGTCCGAGTTTTCTTTTAATTTTGAGAATAAATTAATAAATTTTTAATCAATTTTTTAAATTTATTAAAATAATTTATAAAAGTCATTACAAATTTAATTTTTAATCGTCAGAGAATGTCTTAAAATTATAATTGTAATCCAAAATTGAATATATACAGCATAAACAAACAAAATGTGAAGCAAGTGAAAAATATGTAAGATTTTAAATGTTCAGAATTAATTTCCTCAAAGGAAGTTTTATTAAAAAAGCAATCTAGTGCATTTATCATTGATTTTATTGTCAGACAAATTTTCTATTTTGCCAGAAATTTGTTTCTTTCTATTGATAGCATAAGAATTGAAAAATAATACATTATAATGTTATTAACATAAAGTGAATATGTGATTGTGTTTATTTATTGCTTACAATAAAATAATGTAAGCAATAAATGAGCACATCGATCAATCATAGTCAAGTAATAATATGAATTGACTATTAAATTTAAATAGCTAATATATCAGAAATATCGATTTGGTTATTGCTATTGTCATATTTCTTACATTGTTTATGTGCCATAACATTTATTTCTAACGTTGTTAACATTATTTTTCCTTTTTTAAATAACAGTTTACAAAACTATATCTCTAATAAAAAAGTACTTTATTTGAAGATGTACTTAATTTTTTCGCATTGTTTTAAATAATTATTACATGATAGTAAAAATTAAGTGTATATCTTTTAATACTGTATCACATTATATTACTTTACCTTAAGCTCATTTTGAAATGGGTAGAAGTATTGTATCGGACTCTGCATGTGGTTTTTAAAGACTGCTGGTGCGAGACTGATCATCTTTTGCACCATTTGCGCGATTTCCGGACTCTCTGATGCCATTATGAAAAAACTATTTGCGCCCATTGAGTGACCAATATATGTATGCAATAGTTGGGATCTCATATTCGTGATAAATGTGATCATTGCTGGTGAATCATAGATGCCCATTTCGTTGTAACTAATGAGAATTCAATTGATATATCATAAAATATATAAATATGCACACGATCACTGTCGCGATCACACATATATAGAGAAAATAAATATATTATATACGTAAGTATATAAAATATCAAGTGTTGCATAAAAGCAGAAACTAAAATTTTGCGCAAAAAATGATTTATCAACAATCAAGAAGAAAAGCAATATACATATTGACACAATAAAATGTAAGTTATCTTACAAATAATGCATTCTCGAAAAAATAAGAACGTTTATATAAATGTAACAAATTTTTGCGTATAACATCAAATTATAACCGATATTGTAACAATTATTACTATCTTATTTTCATAACACAACATTATTTTTATTTTACGCTGGTACCTGAAATCCCAAAATGTCGGATTCGACGGAGAGAGAGAAACATGTGCCCTCGAGTAAATATTACCACGAAAATTTCCTAACCAAACATCATATCCCTGATCTGCTAATAGGTAAGCTAAAATTCAAGAAAATTGATTACAATATTTAACATATCACTTTCTATATCTTTATACATATCAGATACATATAAGTATACATATAAGATTAAATTTCAAATTTTGTAACATTTTTATGATTAAGGCGTAATTGACGGTATGATTTTATGATACATATATAATTTCAAAAATTGATTGACGATCGTACCGAATGCTTTGTCTTTGCCAAGAACAACCCAGTCAGCGGAACTGCAGAAAAGACCATGCTGCAGCAGCACGGGTAAGGAATCGTTGCCACCTGGGATACGATGTAACGTCAAGAGATAGCCATCCTCCGTCATTACAACGTGAGATTCCGCAGGATAACCCGCTTTTCTTATCATCTCTGGCTGCAAAAAGACTGTATAAGAAAAAGGAAAAACCGATCTGAACTGGGAATAAATATGAGTAACACGAAATGCATAATATATTTATTTTTATGCATTAACACGCAGACATACATAATTCACGTTATTTTACATTTCAAAATAAAAAAGTAAAAGAAATTTAATGTTAATTGACCAGTATTAATAATTAAATATTAAATTAACTCTCCAAAAGCGACAAAAATATATAAAAATATTAATATATGTATTTTCAAAGATTATAATACAGTATAATTTTGCGAAATTATGCCATTTTCATTCTGAATAAGAGAACGCGGCCAGTAGCAGCAGATTACTTTTTATCGATTTCAACAACATTGAAGAAATTAATTGAAACATTAAAGATTTTAATCCTCATTTCTATTCTTCATTGAACGAAAACTTTATTTACCGTGTTGAGAATGGAATCAGGATTCAATTTGATGTTGGACTGATTCCAATTGGACCATATTATTCTTCTAATGAGCATACTTATCTCAGAGATCACATTTATCGGAGCCGCACTAAGATGACTAAAAAATAACAGCGAATACATGAGCCCGATCAATTTCATTTTATCAAATAAATGATTCAATAAACAGAGAAAGGAAACGAATAATTAGAAAGTTTTTCGGAGTATCGAGATATATATCGTTGAAAATTAAGCAGAACACGCGAAAATGATATAGACGCTACTGCGCGACATAAATACTAACTGCTTTTCACACGTTGCGTATCACCATATTAGAATGAATTGTCATTTTATTATGTCATTATTATTTTATTATGAATTGTCATTGCATTATGTCATTGTAATTGCCATTGTATTTATAATTGTGTATTGTTTATTAGCTGACAAAAAAGAATAAAGAAAAGATATTATTGCATTATTAGTTATACGAGCACAAAGGCATTTCGAAAAAAAATATAAATTTATACGTAAACAATTCTATCTTTGTCCTTAATATGTGTACATATTGGATGGCTAAATGAAAAGGCAGAAAGATAATAAAATGCGTAAAATTAAATTATAAAATAAATGTAAAATTAACATATAATTAAATTATAAGATAAAGATTTATTGTGATCTGAACGACAAGTATCGTGTGTCAGAGTGAAAAGGCGGTTGTCGCTTCGATTTTGTAGATAGGAATCGTCCCTTTCAGTACTTCTTCTATATAGAGATTCTTTCGAGAAAATTGCCGTGATAGAAAAAACCATCATATATAAATACAAAATGGATCTTCTTGCTCCCGAATACCGGGCAAATTAATTTGATATATATTCGATTATTACTAATATTTATTGTTACTAAATTTGATGGAGATAATATTTTGCAAACTGTTGTCCTGACTTTCGGAAAACAACATTTGTTTCGAAGCGAAAAAAACTGTTCCCAACTCAAAATACATTGTCCTCCTTTGATACTGACAACATGTCACATTAAAATTTAAATGTTATGATTTATGTATGCAAAATAAGTTACCAAATTTGCAGCATGAAGTAAAAAACGAGTATATATGAGGAATATATTACTTTTAATCCTTGGATTTACCTTTTATCTGCTGTTCGAAATGTGTCAGTTCTTATCCCGCTTTCTATCTGTTTTATTGTAATTTTCGAAAACTTCTGCCAAATTCAAGTATATATATATATATATATATATATATATTATATATATATATGTATATATATATGTATATATATATATATATATATGTATATATATATATATATATGTATATATATATATACACACGCACACACACATTTTATAGAAAGAAAAAAAAATATATATATATATATATATATATATTTATATTCTATATAAAATTGTATATATACTAACTCGATTATATTTAAACAATTTTTCCCACAGCAAATTTGAATAATTTGTGTTAGTGCTGTCATAATTATACAAAGGTAGATCGATATACGTATATATGATAAATTGCAAAAAATCGCTTTAAGAATTATATAAATTTAATTACCTTTTCGCCTAAATTTCAGTTTTGAATTAAAAAGCGACAATCGTTTTCAAGCATTTCTTGATAGCATTTAAAGAAAACTAAGAAAAATTTTAGTTCTCATTTCAATGAATTATAAAAATACTCTTACCGTTTTAAGTAGTTTAAGTTATTACATAGCATTTTAATGTTGTTCAGTCAAATCCAGTTAATGCAAGATATTATTCCACTCGAGTCAAGAGGCAGATTTTCTTGCCTTGACTCGAGTGGAATAATATTTACAGCGCTGAATTGGAATGACTGATATGTCACTAAATACATATACACACGAATCCAGTTAATGCAAGATATTATTCCACTCGAGTCAAGAGGCAGATTTTCTTGCCTTGACTCGAGTGGAATAATATTTACAGCGCTGAATCGGAATGACTGATATGTCACTAAATCAAGAGACACGGTAGTGTCTTGTGCTAAGTCCCGCGTAAGCAACAAAACGCGCCGTGTATCTTTACGCGAGTCGGATAGTTGGAGATATTCGAGATTATCATATTGAAATAATCGTTGAACGGATCGAGTTCTTATTAGGCTTAATGGATAACTTGAGGTTGATTTATATAAGAAAAGTGTCTTTATTTTTACTCTACGTGCATCGTGAACAGCAATATTATGATCCAAAGTCGAAATATGAAAAATTTTCATTAAGAAACGTCTCCTTGGTCATCGTCGCTCAAGTCCCCAATGCGCAAGCATAAAAGTTGTACGTTTGCCGCATTCGACGTAAGATTGCGCTAGCGGCGCTCCGTGATGTTAAGACTATTATATACAGAGTGTCCCATTTTAATCGATGGATCCAAATTTTTCCTAAACTACGCCAGCTACAAAAAAATGTTTCAGACAAAAGTTGTATGGCTTGAAGGGGAACATAAGGTGGTGTCATTGGTTTGACATTGAAAAGTCACCTGAAGGTTACGTGAAGATCACATCCAACTTTTTAAATGGGACATCCTATATGCTTTTGCATATTTTTTTAGTTCATCTCGAGAGCTTTCCGAAACACTATAATTAAGTTAATTTTCATTAAGTAGTTTTCGAGTTATGAGACTTGAAATCATTTCTTAATTTTACATAAGTCGTAAAATATCTAGTAAAATATTCATTTTTCGATTATCTTATCTTAATACTTTTATACTTAATACTTTTATCTTAATACTTTTACGTAAAATCGGTTCAAAATAATAAGCAGAATCAAATGGTGTAAAGAAAACATACAGTTGTTTAAGAAAAAATATGGAATTGTTAATTGCAAATTACATATTTTTTTCCTCGGAACAGTTATATGTTTTCTATACACCCCAATTGATTCCTCTTATTATTTTGTACACAAAAGTATTAAGATAAGTTAAACAAAAAATGAATATTTTACTAGATATTTTACGATTTATGTAAAATTAAGAAATGATTTCAAACCTCATAACTCGAAAACTACTTAATGAAAACTAACTTAATTATAGTGTTTTGGAAAGCTCTCGAGATAAACTATAAGAATATGTAAAAGCATATAGGGTGTCCCATTTAAAAAGTTGGATGTGATCTTCACGTAACCTTTAGGTGACTCTTCAATGTCAAACCAATGACACCACTTTATGTCCCCTTTCAAGCCATACAACTTTTGTCTGAAACATTTTCTTGTAGCTGGCGTAGTTAGGAGAAATTTGGATCCATCGATTAAAATGGGACACCTTGTATACAGGGTGTCCTAGACCACCCGTACACCCCTTTTCTTTCAAAAACTAAGCATTTTAGAGAAAAACGTTTTCGACAAAAATTGTATGGTTTTGAGGGGAACATAAGATGGTGTCATTGGTTTGACCTCGGATGGCATCGTTAAGGTCAGGTCAAGGACACCTTTAATTTCTTAAATGGAATCACCTATTTTTTATTGCATATTCTTATAGCTTATGTCGAGAGCTTTCCAAAACACTATAATAAAGTATTTTTTCATTGAGTACTTTTCGATTTATAAAACTTAAAATAAAATCTTAATTTTACATAAACTATAAAATATCTAGTAAAATATTTATTTCTCGATTATCTTACCTTAATATTTTTATGTACAAAATAATGAGAGGAATCAATTGGTCTAAAAAAAAAACACATAATTGTTCCGAAGAAAAAATATGTAATTTGCAATTAACAATTACATATTTTTTCTTAAAAACAACTGTGTGTTTTTTTTTTCACTAATTGATTCCTCTCATTATTTTGTACATAAAAGTATTAAGGTAAGATAATCGAGAAATAAATATTTTACTAGATACTTTATAGTTTATGTAAAATTAAAATATTATTTTAAGCCTCCATCTTATGTTCCCCTCAAAATCATACAATTTTTGTCAAAAACGTTTTTCTCTAAAATGCTTAGTTTTTGAATGAAAAGAGGTGTACGGTTTCTAATGACATATTGATTTGTAGTTATCCGTTATTTTTGCAATAAGAGTAGCAAAGAAGTTTGAAGGATCTGAATATCTATATAATAAGCAAAGAGGATCGTCTAATTTTAATGAAATATGACGGGGGTGATGGCGGGTTCTTTGCTCAGTTATTTAGAGATGTTTAACATATAGTACAAAAAAGAGTGATATCCCTAAAAAATTACCCTTTTAAAAAAAAGGTAAAAAAAGGTGCTAAGTCCGCGTAAAAAACAGTATATGTATTTGCAAAATAGTGTATTATTAACTGTAAAAAACTACTGTATTGTATATCCTACAAAAATAATGATATCAAAAAAATTGCGCTAAGTGAAAATAAAAGCTTATAAAAATACTTTAACCAAAAAAAGTTATACAAAACAGCTGATTTAATTTTCTACATTATATCCTAGAAAAATAATGATATCCAAAAATTACGCTAATTGAATATAAAAACTTAAAATAATTTAACTAAAAAAAATTGTACAAAATAATTGTTTTAATTTCATACAAATAATATTAAAAAATTGCGCCAATTAAATAAAAATTTTTACTATAAAATAGACATATTTCTTTTTTATTTTCAATATTAAAAGAAAAATGATATTAAATGAATTGTAATATATCTATTATAAAAAATCGAATTGAAAATATGAACAATCATATACATTGCAATAATCATATGCATATATCCTGAAAAGTTTAATTAAAAAAAAAAAAAGAAAATGATAATACAAAATACAAAATTAAAAATTATTAAAAAATTTAAAAATTAGAAATTAATAAATAAAAAATAAAAATTTATATAAAAATTAAAAATTAATACATATAAAAAAATTTTAGTTAAAAAACTTAGCGCTGCTAATTTCATTAGCACATTGTTCAACGTAGCAGCGCTAAGTTTTTTAACTAAAATTTTTTTATATGTATTAATTTTTAATTTTTATATAAATTTTTATTTTTTATTTATTAATTTCTAATTTTTAATTTTTTTAATAATTTTTAATTTTGTATTTTGTATTATCATTTTCTTTTTTTTTTTTAATTAAACTTTTCATGATATATGCATATAATTATTGCAATGTATATGATTGTTCATATTTTTAATTCGATTTTTTATAATAGATATATTACAATTCATTTAATATCATTTTTCTTTTAATATTGAAAATAAAAAAGAAATATGTCTATTTTATAGTAAAAATTTTTATTCAGTTGGCGCAATTTTTTAATATTATTTGTATGAAATTAAAACAATTATAGGATTATTAAAGAATTGTAGTCGACCAAACTAGCCAAGAAATCATTAATTTATTTAAATATTACGACGTTTCGACCATATGGTTGTGGTCCTTATCAAGTATACTGGAACATTTAAATACATTAATTAACGGTTTTTTATATATATACTAAGCACAACAAAAATGAAAAGTGAGCATAATTACCGATGGAAAGATAAAAACAGGCATGGCACTTAAACCAGCACGAGTCACAAATTACAAAATTTGAGAAATTAAGAATTAAAAAACAAAAGACGTTATTTGATTAAAGTTCGAAATTGAGAGAACTGATGTGTCCGTGTGAGACTTCGTCAAAAAACTAAACATAGTTAAAAGAATAAACCAAGTTAAGTGACCCAAGTTAAGTGGTCTGGGAGGTATATTAACTTCCTTTCGAACCACCCATTAAAATATAAAATTAATACGATTTATAATTTAGTAGACCACGCTATTTTATTATCCGACGACTGTTTTAAACAAGAAAACATTAAACTGGTATATGACACCTTAATTAATAATTGCTTTCCTAAACATATCATACATAGACATATTAGAAAGAGAATCAATTTTTTAAGTAATCGTGACCGTATTGACAAAGTTGACGTTGATCTTTCTCATAGAGACAAGACTCCGATTATGGCAATACCATATGTAGACAATACGAGCCATGATCTGTACCGTCTCCTGCGAAATAATGGTTTTAATGTCGTTTACAAAATAACCAAAAAACTTAATAATCTAATTAGACGTGGTAAAGATAGATTACATAACAATGACAAGACAAGCGTTGTATATAAATTAAATTGTAAAAATTGCAATCTATCATATATTGGTCAAACAAAGAGACATTTACGTACGCGAGTAAATGAACATCGTAATAATATGAAGCTACATGAGACCAATCACTCCGTAATTACCAAACATAGATTGGAAGCGGGACACGAATTTGATTGGTCGAATCCCGACATCTTACACAGCGAAACGTATGTTCGAAAAAGAGAGATTGCTGAGATGTTCTTTATTAAGAGATCAGACAATCTAATAAACTTACAGATAGACACAGATAATCTAAACAATATTTATGACAAAATTATAAAGGTCACTTAACTTGGTTTATTCTTTTAACTATGTTTAGTTTTTTGACGAAGTCTCACACGGACACATCAGTTCTCTCAATTTCGAACTTTAATCAAATAACGTCTTTTGTTTTTTAATTCTTAATTTCTCAAATTTTGTAATTTGTGACTCGTGCTGGTTTAAGTGCCATGCCTGTTTTTATCTTTCCATCGGTAATTATGCTCACTTTTCATTTTTGTTGTGCTATATATATAAAAAACCGTTAATTAATGTATTTAAATGTTCCAGTATACTTGATAAGGACCACAACCATATGGTCGAAACGTCGTAATATTTAAATAAATTAATGATTTCTTGGCTAGTTTGGTCGACTACAATTCTTTAATAATCCTTTGATTGTTCGACTAGCGAGAATAGAGCGTTTTTTCAATTTTTAAAACAATTATTTTGTACAATTTTTTTTAGTTAAATTATTTTAAGTTTTTATTTTCAATTAGCGTCATTTTTGGGTATCATTATTTTTCTAGGATATAATGTAGAAAATTAAATCAGCTATTTTGTATAACTTTTTTTGGTTAAAGTATTTTTATAAGCTTTTATTTTCACTTAGCGCAATTTTTTTGATATCATTATTTTTGTAGGATATACAATACAGTAGTTTTTTACAGTTAATAATACACTATTTTGCAAATACATATACTGTTTTTTACGCGGACTTAGCACCTTTTTTTACCTTTTTTTTAAAAGGGTAATTTTTTAGGGATACATATACACACGATCAATCTCATAGCATCGGTCGATAAAGTGATTATATAAAAAATTTTAAAAATGTACGATGTAATAATTTTGCAACGCATTATCGAAGAAAATAAGTATAAAAGTAAAAAAGTTAAATACGATTGCTCACAATAGTTAATTATTTAACATTATAATAAATCTTCATTTTATTAACGATTTTTTTTTATTATCGATGAGGGAATTAAAGAAATAACATTATCGTCTTATTAGCCATACAATCATAACGTATTTCCGAAAATGCATATTGTAAAAGGTAAATTACCGAAATTGCAATATAGAACATCAAACGAACAGCAAGTACGTTACGATATAGTATACATAATATATAAATTTATTATATTATATTGTTTACTCCAAATTTAAAAAAACGAGAAAATTAATTATTTTTATTACAAATGCCTAGAAAGTACATAAAAAAGTTACTGAAGTATTATGTGTCATATAATTCGAAAAATGTGTACACTGTTATCGCAAAAATAAAATCAAATGATACAAACACCAGAATAAATATAATATTAAACATTTGAAAAAACCACAACATTGGTCTAATAATCATATATAATACAAGACAGATGAAAAATAACTGAAAATTGGATGTTTTTAAATTAATTGTTCCATCTGTAAGTTATACAAATAATGTTGCTCCCGAATTTTTAAACGCTTAATAAACATTTTTGAATATTAGAAATAATACTAAGATATTATAAGTTTACGTTTCGTTGAATGAACGATTACAATCATAAATATTACGGAAGATCTATCGTGTAACATTTATCTTTAATTTTGATTGTTGACAATATTTTTCCATTGGTTGTAACGTTAGATTAGATTATTTGAATAAGTGTCATTTGGATTTTCTTTCATGATCTCGAGAATATGATTGTATACGAGTTTTCGCGCATCTTTAGCCCACATATAATCCACATGATTGAATTTGTCCCATGACACTCTGTACATATCCATTACTTTGGGCAGTAAATTGTGCAATTTTATCACATCCTTAAAAAAATATTTTTGTTAGTTATCGTATGCGATTTCTTTTAAATTACCTCTCCAATTAAATAATTTAAAATTCGATTTATTTACAATGAAGTGATTCCTTATTATACAGGGTATCCCAAAAATCCCGGACCGGTCGAATATTTCATAAACTATGCACTTTAGAAAGAAATGTTTCAGACAAAAGTATGGCTTGAAAGGGGCCATCAGATAGTGGCAATGATTTGACATGAGAGAGTCATTTGAAAGTCACGTGAAGATCACCGTCAATTTCTTAAATGGAATCCCCTATTTTTTATTAAATATTCTGCTAGTTCATGTCAATAGCTTTCCAAAACACTATAATTAAGTTAGTTTTCATTAAGTACTTTCCGAATTATGAGGCTTGAAATCATTTCTTAATTTTACATAAACCGTAAAATATCTTGTAAAATATTCATTTTTTGATTATCTTACCTTAATACTTTTATGTACAAAATAATGAGAGGAATCAATTGGTGTAAAGAAAACACATAGTTGTTTTAAAAATAAATATGTAATTGTTAATTGTAAATTACATATTTTTTTCTTAAAAACAACTATGTTTTTCCCTTACACCAATTGATTCTTCTCATTATTTCGTACATAAAAATATTAAGGTAAGATAATCGAAAAATGAATATTTTACAAGATATTTTACGGTTTATGTAAAATTAAGAAATAATTTCAAGCTTCATAATTCGGAAAGTACTTAATGAAAACTAATTTAATTATAGTGTTTTGGAAAGCTCTCGACGTGAGCTACCAGAATGTTTAATAAAAAATAGGGAGTTTCATTTAAGAAATTGACGGTGATCTTCACGTGACTTTCAAATGACTCTCTCATGTTAAATCATTGCCACTATCTGATGGCCCCCTTCAAGCCATACAAATTTTGTCTGAAACATTTCTTTCTAAAGTGCATAGTTTATGAAATATTCGACCAGTCCGGGACCTTTGGGACACCCTGTATACATTTCCATTATGTAAATAAATATCTACTTTACCATTTGCTTACCTGTATGTTGATTAACAAGTCATTATCGGCATAAAACAACGCGATTGGTACTGTAATTTTCGATAAATCATAATTCGGTGGTTTTGTAGATTTATAGACCCACAGATTTTTCAGGAAACCGTAATCGTATTTGCGAAATATGTCCGATCTATATACTTGAACGAAATGCAGTATCGTTTTAGTCGAGGTGCCGGCCGGATAGTGACTTAAGAATTCAGGCACCAGAGACTATAACAATAAATAGAAAACAATAATGATATATGCGCGAAGCTCGATCGTGATTGCGCGATCGTGAAATGATGCGACGATCGAAAACTCGATCGGAGTTGTATTTCGGCTGTAAATCATTACTTACATAGCTAAATTGCTTGGGATCAAAACCTACAAGTATAAACATCAAATTGGAAAAGAGAAACTTTACGATGATGTTATCACTGTATATACTGCTCCCAAAAAATCTCAAAACGTCGCTTTGGAAGAATTCACCGTGGAAGAGCAATCGATTCGGTAGCTGCAATTGAAAATCTTTTAATCGTGAAATAATTTACTTGTAATTCTTCTTTATTCGAGAGTTTTAACGATTTTGAAAATGAATTAATAAATTTTACGAATTAAAAGTTAATTTTAATAAAAGCGTTCTTTCAAGAGTTATTGAAATTTTAATTCGTCGAAAATTTTAATTCATCGAAGATATCTTCTTAAAATTGAAACCAAAAATTGAATTTGTACGGTATAAAGAAACATGAAAGGAGAATGTGAATTTTTAAACATTTAGAATTAAAATCTTGGAAAAATTTGTCAAAAAAGAATCTATTGCACTTCTAATTTATATTTCATTACATAAGACGTATCTTCTTTTTTTCTATTTTACTAGGAATTTGTTTCATTCTGATAGAATAAGAATTGAAAAATAGTACATTAAATCAATAACGTCTAAAAAAACATAAGCAAGAAATGAGCACATCGATCAATCACAGACTAGTATTTATATGAATCGATTATTAGATTCAAGCTAGCTAATCAGCAATGTTAGTTTGATTATTACGAACATTATACTGCTTATATTTTTTTAAGTGTCATAACATCTATTTTTAACGCCGTTAACATTATTTTTTCCTTTTTCAGAAAACAGTTTACAAATTTTGTCTGTCAAAAAAAAGTATAAAAATGTGCTTTATTTTTTCACACCATTTAAATTGTTATTACGTGATAATAACTTATATATCTTTTAACAGTATTACCATTATATTACTTTACCTCAATCGCACCTATAAACGGACTCAGGAATCGTACCGGACTCTTCATGTGGTGTGTAAAGGCTGCTGGCGCGAGAGCGACCATCTTTTGCACCTTTTCAGCGACGTCTGGACGCTCTGATGCCATTACAAAAAAACTAGTTGTGCCCATAGAATGACCAACATATGTATGCAATGGTTGCGATCTCATCTTCGTGATAAATGTAATCATCGCGGGTAAATCATAGAGGCCCAGTTCGTTAAAGCTAATGAAAAATTCATTCCATATGCCACAAAATATATAAATATGTACGTGATCACACATACACATATACAGAGAAAATAAATATACATATATATAGTATATAATATATATAGTATGTACTGTAAAAGCAGAAATTAGAATTTTGCACAAACAATAATTTAAATTTTGAATCAAGAAAAATTGCAAATGCATTGTATTATAAGGCATAATAAGAGGTGAGATATCTTGAAAACAATGCATTTTCGAAAACGTAAGTAAATATATATATAAGTTAAACAAATGCTTGCGCATTACGTGAAATTAAAACAAATATTGTAAAAATTATTATCATTTTATTTTTATTTTATATTATTTTATACCTGAAATCCCAAAATTCATAATCCGAAGGAGTTAGAGAAATATGTGCCTTCGAGTATGTATTACCTCGAAAATTTCCCAGCCAAACATCGTATCCCTCATCCGCTAATAAGTAAGCTGAAAAAAAATATTGTATTTATAATTTAACATGTGTATTCATCATGTTATTTACATTTTCATGTATTATATATATATATATATATATATATATATATATATATAATACGAATTTTCATATTTTTTGGCATTTTAGCGAGACATTTTAGAAACAACAAAATTAACCAGTTCACTGGTACACCCGAAATCAACGTTTTGTGCCAAAACTGATGCGAGCAAATAAATTCGTATTTTACATGAAAGTTTACCTATAAGGATTTTTTTGCGTCGCTGGTAACGAATCAAGGTCAAAATTTCAAAATTTAAAATGGCGAATCCAATATGGCGAACGAATTTTATTTCATTATGGAGAAGATCAAATTCGATATGTTCGCGTTTTTCGAGTCTCTTATGATGAATCTATAGACAAAATTGCAAAATTTAAACTGGCAGATTCAATATGGCGGTTTCTAGTGATTAACATTGATATTCAATTATGGAAATATATCACACTCGGTATGTTTTTTGATCGCAGATAATGGATTCAAGACACTCCAACTTGAACATATTGAATTCGAATCTTCTCTAATGAAATAAGAAATATAATAGTAGAATAACAAAATTAATTCACCATATTAAATCCGCTACTTTGAATATTAAAATTTCGATCCCAAATTTGTCATCAGCGACCAGAAAAATGTGGGTGTATCAAGTAATATACATGTTTAAATTTAAAAATTGATTGACGATCATACCCAATGCTTTATTTTTGCCAAGAATAACCCAGTCAAAGGAGCTGACTAAAAGACCGTGCTGCAGAAGCACGGGTAAAGAATTGTTGCCACCTGGGATACGATGTAACGTCAAGAGATAGCCATCCTCCGTCTGTATAACGTGAGCTTCCGCGGGATAACCCGCTTTTTTTATCATCTCCGGCTGAAAAAAGACTGTGTAAGAAAGAGGAAAAACTGATCTGAACTTGAAATAAATTTGAGCAACGAGAAATGCATAATATATTTATTTTTGTAGGCACAGGCATGCAAACATACATATTTCACGCTGTGTTACATTTCAAAAGAAAGAAATAAAAGAAATTTAATGTTAATTGAGCAGTATTAATAATTAAATATTAAATTAACTCTCTAAAAGCAACAAAAATATATAAAAATACTAATCTATTTATTATATATATTATTTATTATTTATTATTTATTATATTTATTATATTTTTCAAGACTATGATGTAGTATAATTTTGCGGAACTATGCGATTTTCGTTCTGAATAAGAAAACGCGGACAGTACCAGCAGATTATTTTTTATCACTTTCAACAATATTAAAAAAATTAATCGAAACATTAAAGATTTTGATCCTCGTTTCTTGAATGAATCTTAAATGAAAACTTTCATTACCGTGTCGAGAGTGGTATCAGGATTGATTTCGATGTTCGACTGATTCCAATTAGTCCATACTTTCTCAATAAGCAAACTTATCTCATCGTCCTCATTTATCGGGTCCGCACTAAGATGACTACAAAACAACAGCAAATACATGCAAATGAGCCCGATCAATTTCATTTTTATGAATGATTGAATAAACAATGAAAGAAAACGGATAATTTCAGAAGTTTTTCGGAATATCGAAATATATGTCGTTGAAAATTAAGCAGAACACGCGAAAGCGATATAGATACTACTGCACAACATAGATACTAACTGCTTTTTATGCTGCGTATCATCATATTAGATGAATTGTCATTTTATTATGATTATTTTTTATCAGCTAGAAAAAAAGAATAAGAAAAAGATATTATTGTATTATTAATCATATAAGCACAAAGACATTTCGCAAAAAATAAAAATTTATACGTAAGCAATCATTTTTGTTCTCAATATGTGTATATATAGGATGGTCAAATGAAAAGGCAGGAGGATAATAAAATGCGTAAAAAAATTAAATTATAAAATAAATGTAAAATTAACGTAAAATTAAATTCTAAGATAAAGATTTATTGTGATCTGATAAGTATCGTGTGGAAAGCGGTTGTCGATTCGATTTTGTAGAGAGGAGTCGTCCCTTTCGGTTCTTCTTCTAAATAGAGATTCTTACGAGAAAATTGCCGTGATAGAAAAAGCAGTCCTATCACATATAAATACAAAATGGATCTTCTTGCTCCCGAATATCGAGCAAATTAATTCGATACTTATTCGATTATTACTATTATTTATGGTTGCTACGTTGATGGGAATAATATTTTGCATACTTTTATCTTAGCTTTCGGGAAAACAACATTTATTTCGCAGCGAGGAAAAGAGTTTGCAACTCAAAATATATTGTCCTCCCCTGTTACTGGCAACATGTCATATTTAAATTTAAATGTTATCGCTTATGTATACAAGATAAATTGCCAAAATTACAGCATAAAGTAAAAAACGCGTATATATGAGGATTAAATTATTTTTAACCCTTGGATTCAACTTTTATCTGTTGTCCGAAAAATTTGTTACTAGTTCTTATCTCGCTTTCTATCTGTTTTATTATAATTTTTGAAAACTTCTGCCAAAATCAAATATACATGTACATTTTATATAGAATATATATAAAAAAAAAAAAAAAAAAATATATATATATATATATATATATTTTTTTTTTTATAAAATTATATATACATTTATTCAATTATATTTGAAGAATTTTTCCCACAGCAAATTCAAATGATTCGAGTAACTTCTGTCATAATATACAAAGGTCAATATACAAAAGTCAATATACAAAGGTAGATCCATATGCATATGTATGATAAATCGCAAAAAAGAATCGCTTGAGGAATTATATAAATTCAATTAAATTTCGCTTAAATTTTAGTTTTGAATTAAAAAGCGGCAATCGTTTTCAAGCATTTCTTGATTTAAGCATTTAAAGAAAATTAAGAAAAATACAAATTATAGTTCTCATTTCAATGAGTTATAAAGATACGCTTACCGTTTTGAGAATAGAGATTTTAATGTTGTTCGCTCAAATCCACTTAATTCAAGATATTATTTTGCACTTGGCTTGAGTGTAATATTATCAGTGCTGAATCGGAATGACGGCAATATGTCACTAAATACATATACACGATCAATCGCATAGCATCGCTCGATAGAGTGATTCAATAAAAGTTTAAAAAATGAACGATGTAAGAATTTTGCGACATATTATTGAAGAAAATAAGTTTAAAAATAACAGTAAGATAAATACGACTGTTGATAATAGTTAGTTACTTAATATTACGACAAATCTTTTTTTCATCAACGATTTTCTTTTAATAGCTATGAAGGAAAGAAAGAAGTAACATTGTCGTCATATTAGCCATACAATCAGAATGTATTTCAGAAAATGCATATTATAGAAGATATAATTGCCGAAATTGCAATATAGAAGAATAAAACTAACCACAAGTACGTTACAATATGATATATATAATATATAAATTTATATGTATAATATTGTATTGTTTATTACAAATTTAAAAAACGCGAAAATTAACTATTTTTATCACAAAGGGTTAGAAAGTATGTAAAAAGATTATTGAAGTATTATCCATTGTATTATGTGTCGTATAATTTAAAAAATATGTAATCGTAATCGTAAAAATAAAATCAAATGACTCAAACACCAAAATGAATATAATATTAAACATCTAAAACAATAGGTCTTATAATCATATATAGGACAGGACGTGAAAAAACTGGGAATTACATGTTTCTTAATTAGTTGTTCCATTTATGAGTTATAAAAACAATGCTGCTCCCGAATCTTTAAACGCTTAATAAACATTTTTGGATATTGTAAATAATACTAAGATATTATAAAATTTACGTTTCATTAAATGAACGATTACAATCATCAATATTACTGAAGATCTAGTGTATTACATTAATCTTTAATTTTGATTGCTGACGATATTATTCCACTGATGTACTCTCTTTGAATTTTCGCTTCTCATAATCTTGAGAATCCTGTCGTAAACGAGTTTAGACGCATCTTTGCCCCATATAAAATCCATGTGATTGAATTTTGACCACGGCACTTCGTACATATCCACTACATTGGGCAGTAAATGGTACCATCTTTTCACATCCTTGAAGAAATATTTTTGTGAGTTATCGTATGTGATTTCTTTTCAATTACCTTTCCAATTAAATAATTTAAAATTGGATTTACACAATCAAGTGATTCCTTGCTACAGACAATGCCATTATTTAAATAAATATCTATTTTCGATTGCGCTTACCTCTATGCTAATAAACCAGTCATTATCGGCGTAAGACAACGCAATTGGTACTGTAATATTCGACAAATCATAATATGGTGGGTTCATAGAATTATAAATTAACAGATTTTTCACGCGACCATAATCGAATTTGCGAAACTTGTCCGATTCAGCTATTTGGACGTAATGCAGTAGGGTTTTAGCCGAGACGCTGGTTGGAAAATGATTCAAGATGACAGGCAGTAGAGTCTAACAATAAATAAAAAACAATAATGATATATTTAAAGTTTTTCCTTAAGTATGATCAAGCGATCGTAAAATGCGATATTCAAAATGCGAAATTCGATCGGAGTTGTATTTCAACAGCAAATTACTTACATACTAATATCATTACTTACATTGTTAAATTGTTCGCGATCATCACCCCAGATCATAAACATGAAATTGGAACAGATTTCTTCGAGACTAATATTCTGAAGGCAGATTTTTTTCAAAAGAAATCTCACAAAATCGCTTTGGAAGAATTCATCATGGAAAAATAATTGCATCACTCTCTGTAATTGAAAGTCTCTTAATCATTATGTAATTTAATTCTTCTTTGTTTGAGAGTTTTAACGATTTTAACAATGAATTAATAAATTTTTAACAATTTAAGTTAATCTTAATAAAAGTTTCAAGAGTTATTTCAATTTTAACTCGTCGAAGATATCTTCTTAAAATTGAAACCAAAAATTGAATATGTACAGTGTAAACAAACATCAAAATAGATGTAAATTTTTAAACGTTTAAAATTAAAATCTTCTGACATTTTGTAAAAACAAAATCCATTGCGTTTCTAATTTATATTTTATATGTAAAACATATTTTTGTTTAGCTATTTTGCTAGGAATTTAATTCATGATATTGACAGAATATGACTTGATAGATAGTATATTAAATCAGTAACGTATAAAGAACATAAAGCAATAAATGAGCACATCAATCACAATCTAGTATTTTTTAATGAATCGATTATTAGATTTAACTAGCTAATCAGCAATGTTAGTTATTACTAACATTATATTACTTATATTTTTTATGTGTCATAACATTTACTTCTAATGCCGTTAACATTATTTTTCCTTCTTCAGATAAGAATTTACAAATTTTATCTATAAAAGAAGGTATGAAAATGTATTTTATTTTTTTTATACTGTATAAATTTCGTTATTATGTGATAATAAATTATATATCTTTTAACAGTATTACCATTACATTACGTTACCTTAATTTCACTTTTAAATGGGAATAAGTATTGTAATGGACTCTGCAAGTGATTTACAAGAACTGCTGGCGCGAGACCGACCATCATTTGCACCATTTGAGCGATTTTCGAACGCTCTGATGCCATTATAAAAAAACTAGTTGTGCCCATAGAATGACCAATATATGTGTGCAATGGTTGGGATCTCATATTCGTGATAAATGTAATCATCGCGGGTAAATCATAGATTCCCATTTCGTGAAAGCTAATGAAAAATTCATTCGATACACATGAAATATATAAATATGCATACGATCACACATATACAGAGAAAATAAATATAATTTGCATACATATATAGTATATAATATATAAGGTGTTGTGTAAAAACAGAAATTAAAATTCTGCACAAAGAATGATTAAACTAGGAATCAAGAAAAAATAGCAAATGTATTATATTGGCATAAGAAGCGAGATATTTTGAAAACAATGCATTTTCGAAAATATAAATAAATATATATACAGAGTGGGGCATTTATAGTGACACAAGCAATTTTTTCGAAAACGAAGCGAGATATAAAAAAATGTTATATATTCTCTCTCAGTTATCTTTCGTCATCTTTCAAAGACAGATTCCTGAGATCATTTGAAGACGATTTTTCCTCAGCGAAAATGTCAACGAAAGTCATCACTTTTGCATGTTCCCAATTTTTGTCATCATATATCTTTGCAATTAAAGCTTAACTAAAGTAAACTCTATTTAAAATTAATCGAAGAATGTGATTTTGCTAATATTTTATTTCTACAAAACTTAGTTTACGAAAAACCTTTTATTTCCAATCACTTATAATTCGAAAATTATTAGTGCCTCGATATTTTCGTTGAGGAAAAATCATCTTCAGATGATCCCAGGAATCTGTCTTTGAAAGATGACGGAAGATAACTGGAACATCCTGTATATATATATATATATATATATATATATATATATATATATGATATGCATATGATAAGTTAAATAAATCCTTCCGTCAAATGAAAATAAATATTGCAAAAATTATTATTTTATTTTTATAACATCATTACTCTTATTTTAAACTAGTATTTTATATAATATTATTTCATACCTGAAATTCCAAAATGTCGAATTCAAAGGAGACAGGAAAATATGCGCCTTCGAGTATGTATTACCTCGAAAATTGCCTAACCAAACATCGTATCCCTGATCCGCTAATAAGTAAGCTATAGTAAAAAGAAATATTGTATGTGTATTTATCATATTACTTACATTTTTATACATCATATTATACATATAACACAAATATTCAAATTTTTTTGGCATTGTTGCGATATAAACGAAATTAATGATATGATAACGGTTTTGGGATACATGTATAAATTTAAAAATCGATTAACGATCATACCGAATGCTTTGCCTTTGCCAAGAACAACCCAGTCAGCGGAGCTGCATAAACCACCATGCTGCAGCAGCACGGGTAAAGAATCGTTGCCACCTGGGATACGATGTAACGTCAAGAAATAGCCATCCTCCGTCATTACAACGTGAGATTCCACAGGATAACCCGCTTTTCTTACCATCTCAGGCTGAAAAAGGACTGTATAAGAAAAAGGAAAAACTGATCTGAATTTAAAATAAATTTGAGCAACAAGAAATGCATAAATATTTATTTTCATAGGCATAAGCATGAAAATATACATATTTCACGTTATTTTACATTTCAAAATAAATAAGTAATAGAAATTTAATGTCAATTGATCAGTATTAATAATTAAATATTACATCAACACTCCAAAAGCGATCAAAATATACAAAAATACTATTCTATATATTTTTAAAGACTATAATGTAGTACAATTTTGCAAAACTATGTGATTTTCGTTCTGAACAAGAGAACGCGGTCGGTAACAGTCGATTACTTTTTATCAGTTTCAACAACATTGAAGAAATTAATTGAAACATTATAGATTTTAATTCTCATTTCTATTCTTCATTGAATGAAAACTTTCATTTACCGTGTCGAGAATGGAATCAGGATTCAATTCGATATCGAACTGATTCCAATCGGTCCATATTATTCTTCTAATGAGCATACTTATCTCATCGGTCCCATTTATCGTGGCTGCACTAAGATAATTACAAAACGACAGTAAATACATGAGCCCGATCAATTTCATTTTAATGAATGGTTCAATAAAACTTGAAAGAAAACGGATAATTTCAGAAGTTTTTCGGAATATCGAAATATAAGTCGTTGAAAATTATGTAGAATACGCGAAAGCGATATAGGTATTACTGCGCGACACGAACACTAACTGCTGTTTACGCTGCGTATCATCATATTAGATGAATCGTCATTTTATTATAATTATTTTTTATCAACTAGAAGAAGAGTATAAGAAAAAGATATTATTGTATTATTAATCATATAAGCACAAAGGCATTATGGCAAAAAATAATAATTAATATGTAAGCAATTATTTTTGTGCTCAATATGTGTACATACAGGATGGCCAAATAAAAGGGCAGGAGGATAATAAAATGCGTAAAATTAAGTTATAAAATAAATGTAAAAATAAAATTAAATTATAAGATAAAGATTTATTGTGATCTGAACGACAAGTATCGTGTGTCAGAGTGAAAAGGCGGTTGTCGATTCGATTTTGTAGAGAGGAGTCGTCCCTTTTGGTACTTCTTTTCAATAGAGGTTCTTATGAGAATATTGCGGTGATAGAAAAAGCAGTACCGTCACTTATAAATACAAAATGAATCTTTTTGTTCCCGAATACCGAACAAATTAATTCGATATATGTTCGATTATTACTATTATTTATCGTTGCTACATTGATAGAGATAATATTTTGCATACTTTTATCCTGGCTTCCTGGGAAAACAACATTTGTTTCGAAAGCAGAAAAGAAGTTTTCAACTCAAAATACATTGCTCTTCCCTGTTACTGGCAACATGTCATATTTAAATTTAAATGTTATCGCTTATGTATACAAGATAAATTGCCAAAATTACAGCATAAAGTAAAAAACGTGTATATATGAGGACTAAATGATTTTTAACCATTGGATTCTTTCGAATATTATCGTCTTAGTAGCCATTCAATCATAACATATTTCGGACAATGTATATTGTAGAAGGTAAATTATCGAAATTGCAATAAAGAAAATTAAACTATCATCAAGTACATTAAAATATAACATATATAATATATAAGTTTATATGTATAATATTGTATTGTTTAAAAATTTACAAAAAAATCCAAGAAAATTAATTATTTTTATTACAAACGGATAGAAACTATATAAAAAAAAAATTGGTGAAGTATTGTGCATCGTATTATGTGTCGTACAATTCCGAAAATATGTACATTGTAATCGCAAAAATAAAATCAAATGACTCAAACATCAAAATGAATATAATATTAAACATCTAAAACAATAGGTCTAATAATTATATATAGGACAAGACGTGAAAAATAAATGGGAATTAAATTTTTCTAAATTAGTTATTCCATCTACGAGTTATATGAACAATTTTGCTTCTGAATCTTTAAACTCTTAATAAACATTTTTGGATATTGTGAAGAATATTAAGACATTATAAGTTCACGTTTTATTGAATGAATGATTATAATCATCAAAATTACGGAAGCTTTAGCGTGTAACATTTATCTTTAATTTTGATTGTTGACAACATTATTCCACTGATGTAATGTTATTTGGATTTTCTAGTCTCATGATCTTGAGAATCCTATCGTATACGAGTTTTGGCGCATCTCTAGCCCATATAAAATCCACGTGATTGAATTTGGACCACGGCACTTCGTACATATCCACTACATTGGGCAGTGAATGGTACAACCTTTTCAAATCCTTGAAGAAATATTTTTGTGAGTTATTGTATGCGATTTCTTTTATATTACTTTTCCAATTAAGTATTTAAAATTCGATTTATATATTATACAATCAAGTGATTCCTTCCTTTATACATTTCCATTATTTAAATAAATACCTATTTTCCATTACTTACTTCTATGCGAACTAACCAGTCATTATTCCCGTAAAACAACGCGATTGGTACTGTGGTATTCGATAAATTGTAATTTGGTGGGTCCATCGAATTATAAATCAATAGATTTCTCACGGGACCGTAATCGTATTTGCGAAACTTGCCTGATTCAAATACTTGGACGAAATGCAGAATAGTCTTAATGGAGGAGCCTGCCGGGAGATTATGCATGATAATAGGCAGTAGAGTCTAACAATAAATAAAAAACAATAATGATATATATGAAGTTGATGAGTTTCTCCTAAAATGTGTTCACGCGATCGTGAAATTATCACGAAATGCGACATTCGATAAAGATTCGATCGGAATTGTATTTCAACAGAAAATTTTTATTACTTACATTGTTAAACTGTTCGCGATCATCACCACAGATCATAGACATTATATTAGAACAAAATTCAATGTTCTGGTCGCAGATATCTTTCAAAAGAAATCTTACAGAATCACCGAGGAATTCATCGTGAAAGAACAATTGCATCACCATCTGCAATTAAATATCTTAATAATAATGTAATGTATTGTAAATCTTGTAACTTTCCTTGTCCGAGTTTTGTTTTAATTTTGGGAATAAATTAATAAATTTTTAACCAATTTTTTAAATCTATTAAAATAATTTATAAAAGCTTTAAAAAACGTTATAAATTTAATTTTAAATCGTCAGAGAATATTGCCTTAAAATTGCATATGTACAGTATAAACAAACAAAATGTGAAGCAAGAAAAAAATATGAAAGATTTTAAATGTTCAGAATTAATTTCCTCAAAGGAAGTTTTATTAAAAGAGCAATCTAGTGCATTTATCATTGATATTTTATTGTCAGACAAATTTTCTATTCTGCCAGAAATTTGTTTCTTTCTATTAATAGCATAAGAATTGAAAAATAATACATTATAATGTTATTAACATAAAGTGAATATATGATTGTGTTCATTTATTGCTTACAATAAAATAATGTAAGCAATAAATGAGCACATCGATCAATCATAGTCAAGTAATAATATGAATTGACTATTAAATTTAAGTAGCTAATATATCAAAAATATTGATTTGGTTATTGCTACCGTCATATTCCTTTCATTGTTTATGTGCCATAACATTTATTTCTAACGCTGTTAATTATTTTTCCTTTCTTAAATAACAGTTTACAAACTTTACCTCTAATAGAAAAGTACTTTATTTAAAGATGTACTTAATTTTTCCACATTGTTTTAAATAATTATTACACAATAGCAAAAATTAAGTGTTTATCTTTTAATACTGTATCACATTATATTATTTTACCTTAAGCACATTTTTGAAAGGAATCAAATATTGTATCGGACTCTGCATGTGATCTGTAAAGACTGCTGGCGCGAGACTGATCATCATTTCCACCATTTTAGCGATTTTCGGGCGCTCTGATGCCATTATGAAAAAACTGGTTGTGCCTATAGAATGACCAATATATGTGTGCAATGGTTGGGATCTCATATTCGTGATAAATGTAATCATCGCGGCTGAATCATAGATGCCCATTTCGTTATAGCTAACGAAAAATTTAATTAATATATTATAAAATAAATTAATATAATATATTATATAATAAATATGTACACGGTGACACAAAAACACACACACAAGAAAATAAATATATTATATAAACATGTACATAATATATATAGCGCGTTCCTTAAAAGCAGAAATTAAAATTTTGCACACAAAATAATTTACCAACAATCAAGAAGAACAACAATATTTATATCGACACAAGAAAATGTGAGATATCTTGCAAATGATGCATTTTCGAAAAAATAAGTACGTATATAAGTGTAACAAATCCTTACGTATTATGTCAAGTGTAAACAAATATGGTAACAATTATTATTATCTCATTTTTATAACATTATTATTCTTATTTTGCTAGTACCTAAAATCCCAAAATGTCAAATTGGACGGAGAGAGGGAGATATGTGCCTTCGAGTAAATATTACCACGAAAATTACCCAACCAAACATCATATCCCTGATCTGCTAAAAGGTAAGCTAGAATTCAAAAAAATTGCTTACAATATTTAACAAGTAACTTATTTTCCATATAATATCTTAGTATACATATAAGATTAATTTTTAAATTTTGTGGCATCTTTATGATAAAAGCGAAATTGACGATATGATTTTATGATACATATATGATGAAAAATTGATTGACGATGGTACCTAATGCTTTGCCTTTGCCAAGAACAAGCCAGTCAGCGGAGCTGCCTAAAAAACCATGCTGCAGCAGCACGGGTAAAGAATCGTTGCCACCTGGGATACGATGTAACGTCAAAAAATAGCCGTCCTCCGTCGTTACAACGTGAGATTCCACAAGATAACCCGCTTTTCTTACCATCTCAGGCTGAAAAAGGACTGTATAAGAAAGAGGAAAAACTGATCTGAATTTAAAATAAATTTGAGCAACATGAAATGCATAATATATTTATTTTCATAGGCATAAGCATGAAAATATACATATTTCACGTTACTTTACATTTCAAAATAAATAAGTAATAGAAATTTAATGTCAATTGATCAGTATTAATAATTAAATATGACATCAACACTCCAAAAGCGATCAAAATATACAAAAATACTCTTCTATATATTTTTAAAGACTATGATGTAGTACAATTTTGCAAAACTATGTGATTTTCGTTCTGAACAAGAGAACACAGCCGGTAACAGTCGATTACTTTTTATCAGTTTCAACAACATTGAAGAAATTAATTGAAACATTACAGATTTTAATTCTCATTTCTATTCTTCATTGAATGAAAACTTTCATTTACCGTGTCGAGAATGGAATCAGGATTCAATTCGATGTTGAACTGATTCCAATCGGTCCATATTATTCTTCTAATGAGCACACTTAACTCAGAGGTCACATTTATCGGAGCCGCTCTAAAATGACTACAAAACGATAGCAAAAACATGAGCCCGATCAATTTCATTTCAATGAATGATTCAATAAACAGTGAAAGAAAATAAGGATAATTCGAGAGTTTTTTGGAGTATCGAGATATATATCGTTGAAAATTAAGCAGAACACGCGAAAATGATAGATGTTACTGCGCGACATAGATACTAATTGCTTTTCACACGTTGCGTACCATCATATTAGAATAAATCCACATTTCACTTCCGTCTATTTTTTATTAACTAGAAAAAAAGAATTATTGAAAAAGATATTATTGTATTATTAGTGTACTAATGTCTTATTATTGTACTAATCATTATTGTATTATTATTATTGTATCATTAATCATACGAACACAAAAGCATTTCGATAAAAATATAAATTTATATGTAAGCAGTTATCCTTGTCTTCAATATGTGTACATACAGGATGGCCAAATGAAAAGGCAGGAAGATAATAAAATGCGTAAAATTAAATTATAGAATAAATGTAAAATTAACGTAAAATTAAATTATAAGATAAAGAATTATTGTGACTTGAGCGAGAAGTATCGTGTGGATCAGAGTGGAAAGCAGTTGTCGATTCGATTTTGTAGAGAGGAATCGTTCCTTCCGGTACTTCCTCTAAACAGAAATTCTTACAAAAATGCCGTGATAGAAAAAGCAGTTCCGTCACATATAAATATAAAACAAAACTTCTTGCTCCCGAATACCGAACAAATTAATTCGATACATGTTCGATTATTACTAATATTTTGCATACTGTTATCCTGACTTTCGGGAAAACAACATTTGTTTCGAAGCGAAAAAACCTGTTTTCAACAAAATAGATTGCCTTTCCCTGTTACTAGCAACATGTCATATTAAAATTTAAATGTTAAGTCTTATGTATACAATATAAATTGCCAAATTTACAGCATGAACTAAAAAACGTAAATATGAGGAGTAAATTACTTTTAGTCCTTGGATTCAACTTTTATCTGCTGTTCGAAAAATGTGCCAGTTCTTATTTCGCTTTCTATCTGTTTTATTGCAATTTTCAAAAACTTCTGCCAAAATCAAATATATATGTACATCTTATAAAATATATATATATGTATATATTGTTTATAAAATTATATATACATTTATTCGATTATATTTGAACAATTTTTCCCACAGCAAATTCAAATGATTCGAGTAACTTCTGTCATAATATACAAAGGTCAATGTACAAAGTTCAATATACGTAGATCCATATGCATATGTATGATAAATCGCAAAAAAGAATCGCTTGAGGAATTATATAAATTCACTTAATTTTTTGCCTAAATTACAGTTTTGAATTAAAAAACGGCAATCGTTTTCAAGCATTTCTTGATAGCATTTAAAGAAAACTAAGAAAAATAAAAATTTTAGTTCTCATTTTAATGAGTTATAAAGATACACTTACGTTTTGAGAATTACATAGAGATTTTAATGTTGTTCGGGCAAATCCAGTTAATGCAAATATTCTCTTGCCTTGATTCGAATGTAATAACATTTACCAGCTGAATCGGAATGACCGCAATATGTCACTAAATACATATACTCGATCAATCTCATAGCATCGGACGATAAAGTGATTCTATAAAAAATTTAAAAAATGAACGATGTAATAATTTTGCGATGTATTATCGAAGAAAATAATTATAAAAGTAAAGGATATAAATACTGCTCGTAATAGTTAATTATTTAATTTTACAATAAATCTTCATTTTTGTTAACGATTTTCTTTTATTAGCGATGAAGGAAGTAAAGAAATAATATTCTCGTCTTATTAGCCATACAATCATAACGTATTTTCGAAAATGCACATTGTAGAAGATAAATTACCGAAATTGCAATATAGAAAATTTAACTAACAGCAAGTACGTTATGATATAATATGTATAATATATAAATTTATATGTATAATATTGTATTGTTTACTGCAAATTTAAAAAAACGAAAAAATTAATTATTTTTATTACATACGGCTGAAAAGTACATATAAATAATTACTGAAATATTATGTATCGTATAATTCGAAAAATGTGTACACTGTTATCGCAAAAATAAAATCAAATGATACAAACACCAGAATGAATAAAATATTGAACATTTAAAAAAACCACAACATAGGTCTAATAATCATATATAAGACAAGACAGATGAAAAATAACTGGTAATTAGATGTTTTTAAATTAATTGTCCCATCTGCAAGTTATAAAAATAATGTTGCTCCCGAATCTTTAAAGTCTTAATAAACACTTTTGGATATTGTAAATAACACTATGGTATTATAAGTTTACATTTTATTAAATGAACTACTACAATCATCAATACTACTAAAGAGCTCTAGCTACGTGTTACATTTATCTTTAATTTTGATTGTTGACAATATTATTCACTGATGTAACATTCTTTGGATTTTTGCCTCTCATAATCTTGAGAATCCTATCGTATACGAGTTTTGACGCATCTTTGCCCCACATAAAATCCATGTGATTGAATTTTGACCACGGCACTTCGTACATATCCATTACATTGGGCAGTAAATGGTACAACCTTTTCACATCCTTGAAGAAATATTTTTGTGAGTTATTGTATGCGATTTCTTTTATATTACCTTCTCAATCAAATAATTTAAAATTGGATTTATACAATCAAGTGATTCCTTGCTACAGACCATTATTTAAATAAATATCTATTTTCGATTGTGCTTACCTCTATGCTAATAAACCAGTCATTATCGGCGTAAGACAACGCAACCGGCACTGTAATATTCGACAAATCATAATTCGGTGGATCCATAGAATTATAGATCAACAAATTTTTCACGCGACCATAATCGTATTTGCGAAACTTGTCCGAATCAAATACTTGGGCGTAATGCAGTAGCGTTTTAGTCGAGGCGCTGGTTGGGAAATGGTTCAAGATGACAGGCAGTAGAGTCTAACAATAAATAAAAAACAATAATGATATATATAAAGTTTCATTTAAAGTATCACGCGATCGTGGAATGCGATATTCATAGATTCGATTGGAGATGTATTCCAACAGCAAATTACTTACATACTTATATCATTACTTACATTGTTAAACTGTTCGTGATCATCACCCCAGATTATAAACATGAAATTGGAGCAGATCTCTGCGAGACTAATATTCCGAAGGCAGATTTTTTTCAAAAGAAATCTCACAATGTCACTTTGGAAGAATTCATCGTGGAAGAGCAATCTCATCACTGTCTATAATTGAAAATCTCTTAATCATTATATATAATTTAATTCTTCCTTGTTTGAGAGATTTAACGATTTTATAAAAGGAATTACTAAATTTGTAACAAATTTTTTTAACAATTTAAGTTAATTTTATCAAAAACTTCAAGAGTTATTTTAATTTTAACACGGAGGTATCTGCTTAAAATGGAAATCAAAAATTGAATATGTATAGTGTAAGCAAACATGAAAAAGATGTAAATGTGTAAAGTTTAGAATTAAAATCTTCGAAAATTTTGTAAAAAAAGAATCTATTGCATTTTTAATTTATTATATATTGTAAGACAAGGAAATATAAATGAGAAATGCAGAGATTCTTTTTTTACAAAATTTCTGATGATTTTAATACTTTCTTTATTTTACCAGAAATTTATTTCATTCTGATTGGTAGAATAAGAATTGAAAAATACATTAAGTCAATAACGTATAAAAAGACTTAAGCTGTAAGTGAGTTCAATCAGTCACAGTATCTAGTATTTATATGAATCGATTATTATATTTAAGTAGCTAATCAGTAATGTTAGTTTTAATATTACTAAGATTATATTGCTTTTTTTAAGTACCGTAACATTTACTTCCAAGGCCGTTAACATTATATTTTCTTTTTTACATAATAACAGTTTACAAACTTTATCTGACAAAAGTATAAAAATGTGCTTTATTTTTTGATACTAATTAAACCATTATTACATAATACATTATATATCTATTATTACGTAATACATTATACATCTTTTAACAGTATTATCATTACATACAACTTTACCTTAATTTCACTTCTAATTAGATTCAAGTATTGTACCGGACTCTGCATGTGCTTTATGAGAACTGCTGGCGCGAGAGCGACCATCATTTGCACCATTTTAGAGATTTTCGGACGCTCTGATGCCATTATAAAAAAACTAGTTGTGCCCATAGAATGACCAATATATGTGTGCAATGGTTGGGATCTCATATTCGTGATAAATGTAATCATCGCGGGTAAATCATAGATGCCCATTTCGTGAAAGCTAATGAAAAATTCATTCGTAATCGTAATATATCGTAAAATACATATATAAATATGTACATGATCACACATATATGTATAGAGAAAATAAATATATTACATACATATGAATATGATATACATATGTAGTATTCCGTAAAAACGGAAATTAAAATTTTGCGCAAAGAACGACTTAAACACAAAACTCATGAAAAATAGCAAATGTATTGGCTATATATAATAAGAGATGAGATATCTTGAAAACAATGCATTTTCGAAAATATAAATAAATAAATAAAATATAAATAAATAAGTAAATATATAAATATATATAAATATATATATATATATATATATATATATATATATATATGTAATAAGTTGAACAATTCCTTGCGTTAAATTAAAACAAATATTGCAAAAATTATTATTATTTTAATTTATAACACCATTACTCTTATTTTATATAAGTATTTTATTTTATATTATTTTATACCTATAATTCCAAAATGTTGATTTCAAAGGAGACAGGAAAATATGCGCCTTCGAGTATGTATTGCCTCGAAAATTGCCTAACCAAACATCATATCCCTGATCCGCTAATAAGTAAGCTAAAATAAAAAAAATATTGTATTTATAATTTAATATGTGTATTTATCATATTATTTACATTTTCATGTATCGCATTATATATATGTAACTTAAACTTTTAAACTTTTTGGCATTTTATGATAAAAACGAAATTAATGATATGATAACGTGATAGATGTTTAAACTTAAAAATTGTTTGACGATCATACCTAATGCTTTGCCTTTGCCAAGAACAATCCAGTCAGCGGAGCTGCTTAAAAAACCATGCTGCAGCAGCACGGGTAAGGAATCGTTGCCACCTGGGATACGATGTAACGTCAAGAGATAGCCGTCCTCCGTCATTACAACGTGAGATTCCGCAGAATAACCCGATTTTCTTATCATCTCCGGCTGCAAAAAGACTGTATAAGAAAAAGGAAAAACCGATCTGAACTGAGAATAAATATGAGTAACACGAAATGCATAATATATTTATTTTTATAGGCATATGCATGCAAACATACATATTTCACATTATTTTGAAATAAAAAAAAGAAAGAAAATTTAATGTTAATTGATCAGTATAAATAATCAAATATTAAATCAACTTTCCAAAAGCAACAAAAATATATAAAAATATTGTTCTATGTATTTTTAAAGACTACGACACAGTATAATTTTGCGGAACTATGCGGTTTTCGTTCTGAATAAGATAACGCGAACAGTAACAGCAGATTACTTTTTATCACTTTCAATAACATTAAAAAAATTATTCGGAACATTAAAGATCCTTGATTTGATTTTCGTTTCTATGAATAAAAACTTTCATTACCGTGTCGATAGTGGAATCAGGATTTAATTCGATGTTCGACTGATTCCAATTAGTCCACATTCGTTTCTCAATAAGCATACTTATCTGATCGGTCCCATTTATCGGGGTTGCACTAAGATAACTACAAAATGACAGCAAATACATGAGCCCGATCAATTTCATTTTAATGAATGCTTCAATAAACGGTGAAGGAAAGCGGATAATTTCAGAAGTTTTTCGGAATATCGAAATATAATATATGAATATTAAGCGGAACACGCGAAAGCGATATAGGTACTAATGCACGACACAAATACTAACTGCATTTAACACTTTGCATACCATTATATTAGAATAAATCATTATTGTATTTATGACTATTTTTATCAGTTCGCAAAAAATAATAAAGAGAAGTATTATTAATCATGTGAGCACAAAAAAATTTCGAGAGAAATATAAATTTATATATAAGCGGTTATCCTTGTCCTGAAAATGTGTACATATAGAGTGGACAAATGATAAAAACAAAAGAGTAATAAAATGAAAGAGTAATAAATTTAAATTATAAAATAAATGTAAAATTAACGTAAAATTAAATTATAAGATAAAGAATTTTAGTAATCTGAGCGAGAAGTATCGTGTGTCAGAGTGGAAAGCGGTTGTCGATTCGATTTTGTAGAGAGGAGTCGTTCCTTTCGGTACTTCTTCTCAATAGAGGTTCTTACGAGAATATTGCGGTGATAGAAAAAGCAGTACCGTCACTTATAAATACAAAATGAATCTTTTTGTTCCCGAATACCGAACAAATTAATTCGATATATGTTCGATTATTACTATTATTTATCGTTGCTGCGTTGATAGAGATAATATTTTGCATACTTTTATCCTGGCTTTCGAGAAAACAACATTTGTTTCGAAAGCAAAGGAAAGGAGTTTTCAACTCAAAGTACATTGCCTTTCCATGTTACTGCCAACATGTCATATTTAAATTTAAATATTATTGCTTATGTATACAAGATAAATTGCCAAATTTACAGCATAAAATCAAAAACGCGTATATGAGGACTAAATGATTTTTAACCCTTGGATTCATCTTTTATTTTTCTGCTACGAAAAATTTTTTGCTAGTTCTTATGTGGCTTTCTATTTGTTTTATTGCAATTATCGAAAACTTCTGCCGAAATTAAATATATATGTACATTTTATGTAGAATATGTATATATGTATATATTCTTTATAAAATTATATAAACATTTAATCGATTATATTTGAACAATTTTTCTTATAGCAAATTTAAATGATTCGAATAACTTCTCTGATAATTATACGAAGGTAGATACATATGCATATGTATGATAAATCGCAAAATAAAATCGCTTGAGGAATTATATAAATTAAATTAACTTTTTGCCTAAATTTCAGTTTTGAATTAAAAAGCGGGAATTGTTTTCAAGCATTTCTTAATAGCATTTAAAGAAAACTAAGAAAAATAAAAATTTTAGTTTTCATTTTAATGAGATATAATAATATACTTATCGCTTTGAGATTTACATAATGATTTTAGTGTTCAGTCAAATCCAGTTAATTTAAGATATTTTCTTGCCCTTGTTCGAGTGTAATAACATTTATCAACGCTGAATCGGAATGACCGCAAAATGACACTAATACATAAACACTAGGACTAACTACATATACACAAAGACACTAATACTAAATACATATACACAATTAATCTCACAACATCGATCGATAGAGTGATTCAATAAAAAAAATGTAATGTGAATGAAGAATTTTGCGATGTATTATCGATGAAAATAAGAATAAAAGTAAAAGTGATAAATACAACTACATGTAACAATTGGGCACTTATTATATCACTTATTGTTACAACAAATCTTTATTTTATTGGTGATTTTCTTGTATTAATTATAAGGTAAAGAAAGAAAAAATATTATCGTCTTATTAGCCATACAATCATAACATATTTCGGAAAATGTATATTGTAGAAGGTAAATTACCGAAATTGCAATAAACAACATTAAACTACCAGCAAGAACATTACAATGTAATATATATAATATATAAGTTTATATGTATAATATTGTATTGTTTAAAAATTTACAAAAAAATCCAAGAAAATTAATTATTTTTATTACAAATGGATAGAAACTATATATAAAAAAAAATTGGTGAAGTATTATCCATCGTATTATGTGTCGTATAATTCGGAAAATATATACATTGTAATCGCAAAAATAAAATTAAATGACTCAACCACCAAAATGAATATAATATTAAACATCTAAAACAATAGGTCTAATAATCATATATAGGACAAGACAGGTGAAAAATAACTGGGAATTAAATGTTTCTAAATTAATTGTTTCACCTATGAGTTATAAAACAATTTTGCTTCCGAATATTGAACGCTTAGTAAACATTTTTAGATGTTGTAAAGAATACTAAGATATTATAAGTTTACATTTGATTGAATGAATGATTATAATCATCACATTACAATATTACTGAAAATCTAGAGTGTAACATTTATTTTTAATTTTGATTGTTGACAATATTATTTGATTGATGTAACGTTTTTTGGATTTTCTCCTTTCATGATCTTGAGAATCCTATCGTATATCAGTTTTGGCGCATCTTTTGCCCATATAAAATCTACATGATTAAATTTGGACCACGGCACTTTGTACATATCCACTACATTGGGCAGTGAATGGTACAACCTTTTCACATCCTTGAAGATATATTTTTGTATCGTATGCGATTTCTTTTAAATTACCTTTCCAATTAAGTAATTTAATATTGGATTTATAATATATTTATAGTCAAGTAATTTCTTCCGACATACATTTCCATTATTTAAATAAATACCTATTTTCCATTACTTACCTTTGTGTCGATTAACCAGTCATTATCGGCGTAAAACAACGCGATTGGTACTGTGGTATTCGATAAATTGTAATTTGGTGGATCCATCGAATTATAAATCAATAGATTTCTCTCGCGACCGTAATTATATTTGCGAAATTTGCCTGATTCAAATACCTGGATGAAATGCAGAATAGTCTTAGTCGAGCTGCCGGCCGGGAAATTTTTCAAGATGACAGGCAGTAGAGTCTAACAATAGATAAAAAATAATAATGATATATATGAAGTTTCATCTGAAGTGATCACGCGATCGTGACATCATCACGAAATGTAGTGTTCAAAGATTCGATCGGAGATGTATTTCAACAGTAAATTATTATTACTTACATTGTTAAATTGCTCGCAATCATCACCCCAGATCATAGACAGCATATTGGAACAAAATTCAATGTTCCGGTCACAGATATCTTCCAAAAGAAATCTTACAGAATCACCGAGGAATTCATCGTGAAAGAACAATTGCATCGCCAACTGCAAATATCTTAAATATCTTAATAACAATGTAATTTATTGCAAATTTTGTAACTTTTCATGTCCGAGTTTTCTTTTAATTTTGAGAATAAATTAATAAATTTTTAATCAATTTTTTAAATTTATTAAAATAATTTATAAAAGCTTTAAAAGTCATTACAAATTTAATTTTTAATCGTCAGAGAATGTCTTAAAATTATAATTGTAATCCAAAATTGAATATATACAGCATAAACAAACAAAATGTGAAGCAAGTGAAAAATATGTAAGATTTTAAATGTTCAAAATTAATTTCCTCAAAGGAAGTTTGATTAAAAAAGCAATCTAGTGCATTTATCATTGATATTTTATTGTCAGACAAATTTTCTATTCTGCCAGAAATTTGTTTCTTTCTGTTGATAGCATAAGAATTGAAAAATAATACATTATAATGTTATTAACATAAAGTGAATATATGATTGTGTTCATTTATTGCTTACAGTAAAATAATGTAATCAATAAATGAGCACATCGATCAATCATAGTCAAGTAATAATATGAGTTGACTATTAAATTTAAATAGTTAATATATCAGAAATATCGATTTGGTTATTGCTACCGTCATATTCCTCACATTGTTTATGTGCCATAACATTTATTTCTAACGTTGTTAACATTATTTTTCCTTTTTTAAATAACAGTTTACAAAACTATATCTCTAATAAAAAAGTACTTTATTTAAAGATGTACTTAACTTTTTCGCATTGTTTTAAATAATTATTACATGATAATAAAAAATTAAGTGTATATCTTTTAATACTGTATCACATTATATTACTTTACCTTAAACTCATTTTTAAATGGGTAGAAGTATTGTATCGGACTCTGCATGTGGTTTTTAAAGATTGCTGGTGCGAGACTGATCATCATTTGCACCATTTGCGCGATTTCCGGACGCTCTGATGCCATTATGAAAAAACTATTTGCGCCCATTGAGTGACCAATATATGTATGCAATAGTTGGGATCTCATATTCGTGATAAATGTGATCATTGCTGGTGAATCATAGATGCCCATTTCGTTGTAACTAATGAGAATTCAATCGATATATCATAAAATATATAAATATGCACACGATCACTGTCGCGATCACACATATATAGAGAAAATAAATATATTATATACGTAAGTATATAAAATATCAAGTGTTGCATAAAAGCAGAAACTAAAATTTTGCGCAAAAAATGATTTATCAACAATCAAGAAGAAAAGCAATATACATATTGACACAATAAAATGTAAGTTATCTTACAAATAATGCATTCTCGAAAAAATAAAAACATGTATATAAATGTAACAAATTTTTGCGTATAACATCAAATTATAACCGATATTGTAACAATTATTACTATCTTATTTTCATAACACAACATTATTTTTATTTTACGCTGGTACCTGAAATCCCAAAATGTCGGATTCGACGGAGAGAGAGAAACATGTGCCCTCGAGTAAATATTACCACGAAAATTTCCTAACCAAACATCATAACCCTGATCTGCTAATAGGTAAGCTAAAATTCAAGAAAATTGATTACAATATTTAACATATCACTTTCTATATCTTTATACATATCAGATACATATAAGTATACATATAAGATTAAATTTCAAATTTTGTAACATTTTTATGATTAAGGCGTAATTGACGGTATGATTTTATGATACATATATAATTTCAAAAATTGATTGACGATCGTACCGAATGCTTTGTCTTTGCCAAGAACAAGCCAGTCAGCGGAGCTGCCTAATAAACCATGCTGCAGCAGCACGGGTAAAGAATCGTTGCCACCTGGGATACGATGTAACGTCAAGAGATAGCCGTCCTCCGTCATTACAACGTGAGATTCCGCAGGATAACCCGCTTTTCTTATCATCTCCGGCTGCAAAAAGACTGTATAAGAAAAAGGAAAAACCGATCTGAACTGGGAATAAATATGAGCAATACGAAATGCATAATATAATTATTTTTATAGGCATATGCATGCAAACATACATATTTCACATTATTTTGAAATAAGAAAAAGAAAGAAAATTTAATGTTAATTGATCAGTATTAATAATCAAATATTAAATCAACTTTCCAAAAGCAACAAAAATATATAAAAATACTATTCTATGTATTTTTAAAGACTATGATATAGTATAATTTTGCGGAATTATGCGATTTTCGTTTTGAATAAGAAAATGCGGCACATCACTTTCTATCATTTTCAACAACATTGAAGATATTAAACGAAACATTAAAGATTTTAATTTTCGTTTCTATGAATAAAAACTCTCACTTACTGTGTTGAGAATGGCATTAGGATTGAATTCGAGAGAAATGTTTGACTGATTCCGACTAGTCCATATTATTCTCTTAATGAGCATACTTATCTCAGAGGTTACATTTATCGGAAGCGCACTAAGATGACTACAAAACGACAGCAAATACATGAGTCCGATCAATTTTATTTCATCCATGAATGATTCAATAAATAGTGAAAGAAAACGGATAATTCGAGAGTTTTTCGGAGTATCGAGATATTATATCTCGTTGAAAATAAAGCGGAACATGCGAAAACGATGTAGATACTGTTGCACAACACATATACTAACTGTATTTTACACGTTGCATATATTCGAATGCACGTTGCATCATATTAAAATGAATCATTATTGTATTTATGATTATTTTTTATCAGCTCGCAAAAAAGAATAAGAAAAAGTATTATTAGTCATGTGAGCACAAAGAAATTTCGAGAAAAATATAAATTTATATATAAGCAGTTATCCTTGTCCTAAAATGTGTACATATATAATGGCCAAGTGATAAAGACGGAAGTGTAATAAAATGAATAAAATTAAATTATAAAATAAATATAAAATTAACGTAGAATTAAATTATAAGATAAAGATTTATTGCGATTGAACAGTAGATATATCGTGAGTCAGTGTAAAAGGCCAGTGTCGATCCGATTTTGTAGAGAGAAATTGTCCCTTTCGGTACTTCCTCTAAATAGAGATTCTTTCGAGAAAATTGTCGTGATAGTAAAAGTAGTCCCCTCATATATAAGTGCAATGGATCTTCTTGCTTTTGAATATCGAGTCAATCAACTCGTTACATCTTCGATTATTACTATTATTATTATTATTATTATTATTATTTTTTGTTATTACATCGATGGAGGTAATATTTTGCATACTTTTATCCTGACTTTCGGGAAAACAACATTTGTTTCGAAGCAAAAAAGACTGTTCCCAACTCAAAATACATTGTCCTCCTTTGTTGCTGACAACATGTCATATTAAAATTTAAATGTTATGGCTTATGTGTACAAGATAAGTCGCCAAATTTACAGAATAAAGTAAAATACGCGTATATATGAGGAATTAATTACTTTTAATCTTTGGATTTAACTTTTATCTGCTGTCCGAAAAATGTGCCAGTTCTTATCCCGCTTTCTATCTGTTTTATTATAATTTTCGAAAACTTTTGCCAAATTCAAGTATATATATATATATATATATATATATATATATATATGTTTATATTCTATATAAAATTGTATATATATTAACTCGATTAAATTTAACAATTTTTCCCACAGCAAATTTGAATGATTTGTGTTAACGCTGTCATAATTATACAAAGGTAGATCGATATACATATGTATGATAAATTGCATAAAATCGCTTTAAGAATTATATAAATTTAATTAACTTTTCGCCTAAATTACAGTTTTGAATTAAAAAACGGCAATCGTTTTTAAACATTTCTTGATAGCATTTAAAGAAAACTAAGAAAAATTAAAATTTTAGTTCTCATTTCAATGAGTGTATGAAGATACGCTTACCGTTTTGAGAATAGAGATTTTAATGTTGTTCGCTCAAATCCATTTAATACAAGATATTCTTTTGCCTTGACTCGAATGTAATAACATTTACCAGCACTGAATTGGAATGACCGCAATATGTCACTAAATACATATACTCGATCAATCTCATAGCATCGGACGATAAAGTGATTCTATAAAAAATTTAAAAAATGAACGATGGAATAATTTTGCGATGTATTATCGAAGAAAATAATTATAAAAGTAAAGGAGATAAATACGACTGCTCGTAATAGTTAATTATTTAATTTTACAATAAATCTTCATTTTTGTTAACGATTTTCTTTTATTAGCGATGAAGGAAGTAAAGAAATAATATTCTCGTCTTATTAGCCATACAATCATAACGTATTTTCGAAAATGCACATTGTAGAAGATAAATTACCGAAATTGCAATATAGAAAATTTAACTAACAGCAAGTACGTTATGATATAATATGTATAATATATAAATTTATATGTATAATATTGTATTGTTTACTGCAAATTTAAAAAAACGAAAAAATTAATTATTTTTATTACATACGGCTGAAAAGTACATGAAAATAATTACTGAAATATTATGTATCGTATAATTCGAAAAATGTGTACACTGTTATCGCAAAAATAAAATCAAATGATACAAACACCAGAATGAATATAATATTGAACATTTAAAAAAACCACAAAATAGGTCTAATAATCATATATAAGACATGATAGATGAAAAATAACTGGAAATTAGATGTTTTTAAATTAATTGTCCCATCTGCAAGTTATAAAAATAATGTTGCTCCCGAATCGATCTTTAAATGCTTAATAAACACTTTTGGATATTGTAAATAATACTAAGGTATTATAAGTTTACGTTTTATTAAATGAACTATTACAATCATCAATACTAGTAAAGAGCTCTAGCGTGTTACATTTATCTTTAATTTTGATTGTTAACAATATTATTCACTGATGTAACATTCTTTGGATTTTTGCCTCTCATAATCTTGAGAATCCTGTCGTATACGAGTTTTGACGCATCTTTGCCCCATATAAAATCTAAGTGATTGAATTTGGGCCATGGCACTTCGTACATGTCCACTACATTAGGCAGTAAATGGTACAATCTTTTCACATCCTTGAAGAAATATTTTTGTGAGTTATTGTATGCGATTTCTTTTATATTACCTTCTCAATCAAATAATTTAAAATTGGATTTATACAATCAAGTGATTCCTTGCTACAGACAATGCCATTATTTAAATAAATATCTATTTTCGATTGTGCTTACCTCTATGCTAATAAACCAGTCATTATCGGCGTAAGACAACGCAATCGGCACTGTAATATTCGACAAATCATAATTCGGTGGATCTATAGAATTATAGATCAACAAATTTTTCACGCGACCATAATCGTATTTGCGAAACTTGTCCGAATCAAATATTTGGGCGTAATGCAGTAGCGTTTTAGTCGAGGCGCTGGCTGGGAAATGATTCAAGATGACAGGCAGTAGAGTCTAACAATAAATAAAAAACAATAATGATATATATAAAGTTCCATTTAAAGTATCACGCGATCGTGGAATGCGATATTCATAGATTCGATTGGAGATGTATTCCAACAGCAAATTACTTACATACTTATATCATTACTTACATTGTTAAACTGTTCGCGATCATCACCCCAGATTATAAACATGAAATTGGAGCAGATCTCTGCGAGACTAATATTGCGAAGGCAGATTTTTTTCAAAAGAAATCTCACAATGTCACTTTGGAAGAATTCATCGTGGAAGAGCAATCTCATCACTGTCTATAATTGAAAATCTCTTAATCATTATATATAATTTAATTCTTCCTTGTTTGAGAGATTTAACGATTTTATAAAAGGAATTACTAAATTTGTAACAAATTTTTTTAACAATTTAAGTTAATTTTATCAAAAACTTCAAGAGTTATTTTAATTTTAACACGGAGGTATCTGCTTAAAACGGAAATCAAAAATTGAATATGTATAGTGTAAGCAAACATGAAAAAGATGTAAATGTGTAAAGTTTAGAATTAAAATCTTCAAAAATTTTGTAAAAAAAGAATCTATTGCATTTTTAATTTATTATATATTGTAAGACAAGGAAATATAAATGAGAAATGCAGAGATTCTTTTTTTACAAAATTTCCGATGATTTTAATACTTTCTTTATTTTACCAGAAATTTATTTCATTCTGATTGGTAGAATAAGAATTGAAAAATACATTAAGTCAATAACGTATAAAAAGACTTAAGCTGTAAGTGTGTTCAATCAGTCACAGTATCTAGTATTTATATGAATCGATTATTATATTTAAGTAGCTAATCAGTAATGTTAGTTTTAATATTACTAAGATTATATTGCTTTTTTTTAAGTACCGTAACATTTACTTCCAAGGCCGTTAACATTATATTTTCTTTTTTACATAATAACAGTTTACAAACTTTATCTGACAAAAGTATAAAAATGTGCTTTATTTTTTGATACTAATTAAACCATTATTACATAATACATTATATATCTATTATTACGTAATACATTATACAGGGTTGGGCGAAAGTCCGGAAACGGTCAAATATCTCGAAAAGAATCAACTAGCGAAAAATTGTAAATAGCAAAGTTGTAGGGCTTAAAAAAATGTACCTAATGATGACTAAAAATTTTACTTTGAGTGGAGGACGAAGATCATATAAAAGTCAAATTGAATTTTTTAAATGGAACTGCCTACTTTTTATTGCATATTCTTATAGCTTATCTCGAGACCTTTCCAAAACACTATAATTAAGTACCTTTTTATTAAGTACTTTTTGAGTTATAAGGCTTGAAATAATTTCTTAATTTTACATAAACCATAAAATATCTAGTAAACCATTCATTTTTCGATTATCTTACCTTCATACTTTTATGTACAAAATAATGAGAGGAATCAATTGGTGCAAAGAAAACATATAGTTGTTTTTAAGAAAAAATATGGAATTGTTAATTGCAAATTACATATTTTTTCTTAGAAACAACTATGTGTTTTCTTTACACCAATTGATTCCTCTCATTATTTTGTACATAAAAGTATGAAGGTAAGATAATCGAAAAATGAATGGTTTACTAGATATTTTATGGTTTATGTAAAATTAAGAAATTATTTCAAGCCTTATAACTCAAAAAGTACTTAATAAAAAGGTACTTAATTATAGTGTTTTGGAAAGGTCTCGAGATAAGCTATAAGAATATGCAATAAAAAGTAGGCAGTTCCATTTAAAAAATTCAATTTGACTTTTATATGATCTTCGTCCTCCACTCAAAGTAAAATTTTTAGTCATCATTAGGTACATTTTTTTAAGCCCTACAACTTTGCTATTTACAATTTTTCGCTATAGTTGATCCTTTTCGAGATATTTGACCGTTTCCGGACTTTTGCCCAACCCTGTATATCTTTTAACAGTATTATCATTACATAACTTTACCTTAATTTCACTTCTAATTAGATTCAAGTATTGTACCGGACTCTGCATGTGCTTTATGAGAACTACTGGCGCGAGAGCGACCATCATTTGCACCATTTTAGAGATTTTCGGACGCTCTGATGCCATTATAAAAAAACTAGTTGTGCCCATAGAATGACCAATATATGTGTGCAATGGTTGGGATCTCATATTCGTGATAAATGTAATCATCGCGGGTAAATCATAGATGCCCATTTCGTGAAAGCTAATGAAAACTTCATTCGTAATCGTAATATATCGTAAAATATATAAATATGTACATGATCACACATATATGTATAGAGAAAATAAATATATTACATTCATATGTACATGATATATATAGTATTCCGTAAAAACAGAAATTAAAATTTTGCTCAAAGAACGACTTAAACACAAAACTCATGAAAAATAGCAAATGTATTGGCTATATATAATAAGAGGTGAGATATCTTGAAAACAATGCAATTTCGAAAATATAAATAGATAAATAAAATATAAATAAATAAATAAATAAATAAATATATATATATATATATATATATGTAATAAGTTAAACAATTCCTTGCGTTAAATTAAAACAAATATTGCAAAAATTATTATTATTTTAGTTTATAACACCATTACTCTTATTTTATACTAGTGTTTTATTTTATATTATTTTATACCTATAACTCCAAAATGTTGAATTCAAGGGAGACAGGAAAATATGCGCCTTCGAGTATGTATTGCCTCGAAAATTGCCTAACCAAACATCATATCCCTGATCCGCTAATAAGTAAGCTAAAATAAAAAAAAATATTGTATTTATAATTTAATATGTGTATTTATCATATTATTTACATTTTCATGTATCGTATTATATATATGTATAACTTAAACTTTTAAACTTTTTGGCATTTTTACGATAAAAACGAAATTAATGATATGATAACGTGATAGATGTTTAAACTTAAAAATTGTTTGACGATCATACCTAATGCTTTGCCTTTGCCAAGAACAATCCAGTCAGCGGAGCTGCTTAAAAAACCATGCTGCAGCAGCACGGGTAAGGAATCGTTGCCACCTGGGATACGATGTAACGTCAAGAGATAGCCGTCTTCCGTCATTATAACATGAGATTCCGTAGGATAACCCGCTTTTCTTATCATTTCCGGCTGCAAAAAGACTGTATAAAAAACTGATCTGAACTGGGAATAAATTTGAGCAACACGAAATGCATAATGTATTTATTATTATAGACATATGCATGCAAACATACATATTTCACATTATTTTGAAATTAAAAAAAGAAAGAAAATTTAATGTTAATTGATCAGTATAAATAATCAAATATTAAATCAACTTTCCAAAAGCAACAAAAATATATAAAAATACTGTTCTATGTATTTTTAAAGACTATGATATAGTATAATTTTGCGGAATTATGCGATTTTCGTTTTGAATAAGAAAACGCGGCACATCACTTTCTATCATTTTCAACAACATTGAAGATATTAAACGAAACATTAAAGATTTTAATTTTCGTTTTTATGAATATAAACTCTCACTTACTGTGTTGAGAATGGCATTAGGATTGAATTCGAGAGAAATGTTTGACTGATTCCGACTAGTCCATATTATTCTCTTAATGAGCATACTTATCTCAGAGGTTACATTTATCGGAAGCGCACTAAGATGACTACAAAACGACAGCAAATACATGAGTCCGATCAATTTTATTTCATCCATGAATGATTCAATAAATAGTGAAAGAAAACGGATAATTCGAGAGTTTTTCGGAGTATCGAGATATTATATCTCGTTGAAAATAAAGCGGAACATGCGAAAACGATGTAGATGCTGTTGCACAACACATATACTAACTGTATTTTACACGTTGCATATATTCGAATGCACGTTGCATCATATTAAAATGAATCATTATTGTATTTATGATTATTTTTTATCAGCTCGCAAAAAAGAATAAGAAAAAGTATTATTAGTCATGTGAGCACAAAGAAATTTCGAGAAAAGTATAAATTTATATATAAGCGGTTATCCTTGTCCTAAAATGTGTACATATATAATGGCCAAGTGATAAAGACGGAAGTGTAATAAAATGAATAAAATTAAATTATAAAATAAATATAAAATTAACGTAGAATTAAATTATAAGGTAAAGATTTATTGCGATTGAACAGTAGATATATCGTGAGTCAGTGTAAAAGGCCAGTGTCGATCCGATTTTGTAGAGAGAAATTGTCCCTTTCGGTACTTCCTCTAAATAGAGATTCTTTCGAGAAAATTGTCGTGATAGTAAAAGTAGTCCCGTCATATATAAGTGCAATGGATCTTCTTGCTTTTGAATATCGAGTCAATCAACTCGTTACATCTTCGATTATTACTATTATTATTATTATTATTATTATTTTTCGTTATTACATCGATGGAGGTAATATTTTGCATACTTTTATCCTGACTTTCGGGAAAACAACATTTGTTTCGAAGCAAAAAAGACTGTTCCCAACTCAAAATACATTGTCCTCCTTTGTTGCTGACAACATGTCATATTAAAATTTAAATGTTATGGCTTATGTGTACAAGATAAGTCCAAATTTACAGAATAAAATAAAATACGCGTATATATGAGGAATTAATTACTTTTAATCTTTGGATTTAACTTTTATCTGCTGTCCGAAAAATGTGCCAGTTCTTATCCTGCTTTCTATCTGTTTTATTATAATTTTCGAAAACTTCTGCCAAATTCAAGTATATATATATATATATATATATACATATTTTATAGAAAATATATATATATATATATATGTTTATATTCTATATAAAATTGTATATATATTAACTCGATTAAATTTAACAATTTTTCCCACAGCAAATTTGAATGATTTGTGTTACCGCTGTCATAATTATACAAAGGTAGATCGATATACATATGTATGATAAATTGCATAAAATCGCTTTAAGAATTATATAAATTTAATTAACTTTTCGCCTAAATTTCAGTTTTGAATTAAAAAGCGGCAATCGTTTTCAAGCATTTCTTGATAGCATTTAAAGAAAACTAAGAAAAATAAAAATTTTAGTTTTCATTTCAATGAATTATAAAGACACACTTACCGTTTTAAGTAGTTTAAGTTATTACATAGACATTTTAATGTTGTTCGGTCAAATCCAGTTAATGCAAAATATTCTCTTGCCTTGACTCAAGTGTAATAATATTTATCAGCGCTAAATCGGAATGACTTATATGCCACTAAATACATACACGAACAATCTCATAGCATCGGTCGATAATGTGATTTTATAAAAAATTTTAAAAATGAACGATGTAATAATTTTGCAACGCATTATCGAAGAAAATAAGTATATTTATTCGATTATATTTCAGCAATTTTTCCTACAACAAATTTAAATGATTCGAGTAACTTCTGTCATAATATACAAAGATCAATGTACAAAGTTCAATATAGGTAGATCCATATACATATGTATGATAAATCGCAAAAAAGAATCGCTTGAGGAATTATATAAATTCACTTAATTTTTTGCCTAAATTACAGTTTTGAATTAAAAAACGGCAATCGTTTTTAAACATTTCTTGATAGCATTTAAAGAAAACTAAGAAAAATAAAAATTTTAGTTCTCATTTCAATGAGTGTATGAAGATACGCTTACCGTTTTGAGAATAGAGATTTTAATGTTGTTCCCTCAAATCCATTTAATACAAGATATTCTTTTGCCTTGACTCGAATGTAATAACATTTACCAGCACTGAATCGGAATGACCGCAATATGTCACTAAATACATATACTCGATCAATCTCATAGCATCGGACGATAAAGTGATTCTATAAAAAATTTAAAAAATGAACGATGTAATAATTTTGCGATGTATTATCGAAGAAAATAATTATAAAAGTAAAGGATATAAATACTGCTCGTAATAGTTAATTATTTAATCTTACAATAAATCTTCATTTTTGTTAACGATTTTCTTTTATTAGCGATGAAGGAAGTAAAGAAATGATATTATCATCTTATTAGCCATACAATCATAACGTATTTTCGAAAATGCATATTGTAGAAAATAAATTACCGAAATTGCAATATAGAACATTTAACTAACAGCAAGTACGTTACGATATAATATATATAATATATAAATTTATATGTATAATATTATATTGTTTACTGCAAATTTAAAAAAACGAGAAAATTAATTATTTTTATTACAAACGGCTAGAAAGTACATAAAAAAATTACGAAATATTATGTGTCGTATAATTCGGAAAATGTGTACACTGTTATCGCAAAATTAAAATCAAATGATGCAAACACCAGAATGAATAAAAGATTGAACATTTAAAAAAACCACAACATAGTTCTAATAATCATATATAAGACAAGACAGATGAAAAATAACTGGTAATTAGATGTTTTTAAATTAATTGTTCGATCTGCAAGTAAAAATAAAGTTACTCCCGAATCTTTAAATGCTTAATAAACATTTTTTGATATTGTAAGTAATACTAAGACATTTTAAGTTCACGTTTCATTGAATGAACGATTATAATCATCAATATTACGGAAGATCTAGCGTTTAACATTTATCTTTAATTTTGATTGTTGACAATATTATTCCACTGATGTAATATTATTTGGATTTTCTCTTCTCATGATCTTGATAATCCTATCGTATACGAGTTTTGACGCATCTTTAGCCCACATAAAATCAAAGTGATTAAATTTGGACCACGGCACATCGTACATGTCTACTACATTGGGCAATAAATGGTATAATCTTTTCACATCCTTGAAGAAAATATTTTTGTGAGTTATTGTATGCGATTTCTTTTATATTACCTTTCCAATTAAGTAATTTAAAATTGGATTTATATATTAGATTTATAGTCAAGTGATTCCTTTCTATATACATTTCCATTATTTAAATAAATATCTATTTTCCATTACTTACCTCTGTGTCGATTAACCAATCATTATCGGCGTAAAACAACGCGATTGGTACACGCTGTGGTGTTCGATAAATTGTAATTTGGTGGGTCCATAGAATTATAGATCAACAGATTTTTCACGCGACCATAATCGAATTTGCGAAACTTGTCCGAATCAAATATTTGAGCGTAATGCAGTAGCGTTTTAGTCGAGGCGCTGGTTGGGAAATGATTCAAGATGACAGGCAGTAGAGTCTAACAATAAATAAAAAACAATAATGATATATATAAAGTTCTATTTAAAGTATCACGCGATCGTGGAATGCGATATTCATAGATTCGATCGGAGTTGTATTTCAATAGCGAATTACTTACATACTTATATTATTACTTACATTGTTAAATTGTTCATAATCATCACCCCAGATTATAAACATGAAATTGGAGCAGCTCTCTCGAGATTAATATTCTGGAGGCAGATTTTTTTCAAAAGAAATCTCACAAAATCATTTTGAAGGAATTCATCGTGAAAGAACAATCGCATCACTGTCTATAATTGAAAATCTCTTAATCATTATATAATTCAATTGTAATTCTTCTTTGTTTGAGAGTTTGAACGATTTTGAAAATAAATTAATATATTTGTAACAAATTTTTTTAACAATTTAAGTTAATCTTAACAAAAACTTCAAGAGTTATTTTAATTTTAACACGAAGGTAACTGTTTAAAATGGAAATCAAAAATTGAATATGTATAGTATAAAGAAGCATGGAAAAAGATGTAAATTTGTAAAGTTTAGAATTAAAATTTTCAAAAATTTTGTAAAAAAAGAATCTAATGCATTTCTAATTTATTATATATTGTAAGACAATGAAATATAAATGAGAAATGCAATAGATTCTTTTGTTACAAAATTTCCGATGATTTAAATACTTTTTTTTTCATTTTACCAGGAATTTGTTTCATTCTGATTGATAGAGTAAGAATTGAAAAATAATACATTAAGTCGATAACTTATAAAAAGACATAAGTAAATAAGCATCAATCAATTACAGTTTAGTATTTATATGATTCTATTATTATATTTAAGTAGCTAATCAGTAATGTCAATTTGATTATTATTAACATTATATTGTTTTTTTTAAGTGCCATAACATTTACTTCCAAAGCCGTTAATATTATTTTTTCTTTTTTACATAATAACAGTATACAAACTTTATCTGACAAAGGTATAAAAACGTGCTTTATTTTTTCATACTATTTAAATTATTATTACGTGATAATACGTTATACTAGGTGTTAAAAAAGTAGACACGATCAAATATCTCGATAAGAAAGAGTTTTACAAGAAAGTGTTTCAGACAAAAGTTGTATGGCTTCGAAGGGGACATAATATAATATCATTGGTTTGATCTGAAGGAGTTATTTGAAGGTCACATGAAAGTCACCTTCAATTTCTTAAATGGAACTTTCTTTTTCTCATTACATATTCTTGTAGCTCATCTCGAGAGCTTTCCAAAACACTATAATTAAATTAGTTTTTATTAAGTACTTCCCGAGTTAGAGGCTTGAAATCATTTCTTAATTTTACATAAACTGTAAAATATCTTGCAAAATATTCATTTTTCGATTATCTTACCTAATACTTTTATGTACAAAATAATGAGAGAAATCGATTGGTGTAAAGAAAACATGTAATTGTTTTTGAGAAAAAATATGTAATTTGCAATTAACAATTATCTTCCTTATCGAGATATTCAATCGTGTTCAGACTTTGTTAACACCCAGTATATTTTTTAACAGTATCATCATTATATTACTATACCTCAATTTCACTTCTAAATAGTTTCAAGTATTGTGCCGGACTCCGCATGTGCTTTATAAAAACTGCTGGCGCGAGAGCGATCATCATTTGCACCATTTTAGAGATTTTCGGACGCTCTGATGCCATTGTAAAAAAACTACCTGCGCCCATAGAATGATCAATATATGTGTGCAATGGTTGGGATCTCATATTCGTGATAAATGTAATCATCGCGGGTAAATCATAGATGCCCATTTCGTGAAAGTTAATGAAAAATTTATTCGTAATCGTAATATATCGTAAAATATAAAAATATGTACATAATTACACATACATGTATAGAGAAAATAAATATACTACATACATATGTATATGATATATAAAGTATTCTGTAAAAGCAGAAATTAAAATTTTGCCCAAAGAATGACTTCAACACAAAACTAATGAAAAATAGCAAATGTATTGGCTATATAATAAGAGGTGAAATATCTTGAAAACAATGCATTTCCAAAAATATAAATAAATAAATAAAATATAAATAAATAAATAAATATATTAATATATATATATATATATATATATATATATATATATAATAAGTTAAACTATTCCTTGCGTTAAATTAAAACAAATATTGCAAAAATTATTATTATTTTATTTTTATAACACCATTATTGTTATTTCATATTAGTATTTTATTTTATATTATTTTATACCTAAAATTCCAAAATGTCGAATTCAAAGGAGATAGGGAAATATGCGCCTTCGAGTATGTATTGCCTCGAAAATTGCCCAACCAAACATCATATCCCTCATCCGCTAATATGTAAGCTAAAATAAAAAAAATATTGTATTTATAATTTAATATGTGTATTTATCATATTATTTACATTTTTATGTATCATATTATATATAATATAAACTTTCAAAATTTTGGCATTTTTATGATAAAAACGAAAATGATGAACGCGCAAACGTTTCGATCTATTCCAGATCCTTCTCAATGTTAACATTATCGAAAATACAAAAAAATATAAATGTAAAGAGAAACAGGTCGCTCGCAAATAATAACATTTGCAAATTTAAATTGTAATACAAGGTCAACGTTCAAATTAATGAGAAAAGTCGGCGCAGATAAAATATTCGTCAATATAGCGGACAATACAATGATAAAGTCGAAATTTGTAATAAAGAAAAATAAATTTATAACCCTCGGATGACAGAACGTGGCTGTGGATATGCCTACACGTCGGCATGTTACTCACCAGGTCCAAATACAGAGATCGTAGCTGTGTAGGCAAGAAAGTGTCGAAAAACGATGGCATGTGCGTAAAGGACAGAGATACCGCACGCTATCCACACTTTGTCTAATGCCAAAAGATTCCTTATTTTGCAAGTTAATAAATCCAAAGTCACAAAAACCGGGATCTGAAAAATAACTTGTGCAGAGCAACACGCATTCATGCAAACATATCACAGCAAAAAAGAAAGAAAGGAGAAAAATTAATGTAAAACGATAGTAAATTAAAAAGAAATTAATGCAAAATTATTCAGAAAAAATACATACAAGCAGTAAAAAAGCCAGTTAATTAAACGAATGACAGCAAGTAAGCAAGAAAAAGAGTAATTATGATAGTAAAGTATAAGAGACATGTAACTCATATGAGACAGCGAGACGTACTGAGCCACGCAATATTGAAGCGCCCGGCATCGGCATGCTCAGCATGAAAATTCATGTCCCTCAAGTCTATGCAGGAATAAAACTGATAAATATTCAGAAGATCGATCAATGTTCGATCGATGCTCGCGGACGCGAGTCGAAAGTTGCCTGCTCGTCTGCCCCACATAAGAAGCGGAGCAATTATTGCAGCAATTCCCTCCTCCCCTCTCATCGTCATCGGCATGCCGCTGTCTCATGAGTTACATGTCTCTTATACTTTACTATCGTAATTGCTCTTCTTCTTGCTTACTTGCTGTCTTTCGTTTAACTGGCTTTTTACTGCTTGTATGTACTTTCTCTGAATAATTTTGCATTAATTTCTCTTTAATTTACTGTTGTTTCACATTAATTTTTCTTCTTTTTTTCTTTTTTGCTGTGATATGTTTGCATGAATGCGTGTTGCACTGCTCAATTTATTTTTCAGATCCCGGTTTTTGGTTTGTGGCTTTGGATTTGTTAACTTGCAAAATAAGGAATCTTTTGGCATTAGACAAAGTGTGGATAGCGTGCGGTATCTCTGTCCTTTACGCGCATGCCATCGTTTTTCGACACTTTCTTGCCTACACAGTTACGATCTCTGTGTTTGGACCTGATGAGTAACATGCCGACGTGTAGGCATATCCACAGCCATATTCTGTCATCCGAGCGTTATAAATTTATTTTTCTTTATTACAAATTTCGACTTTATCATTGTATGTCCGCTATATTGACGAATATTTTATCTGCGCCGATTTTCTTCATTAATTTGAACGTTGACCTTGTATTACAATTTAAATTTGCGAATGTTATTATTTGCGAGCGACCTGTTTCTCTTTACATTTATATTTTTTTGTATTTTCGATAATGTTAGCATTGAGAAGGATCTGGAATAGATCGAAACGTTTGCGCGTTCATTTTTAATTTCTGTTAATAATTTGTAATTTTGATTTATAATTAATTATTTGATTATTTGATTTACAATTTATCTTAATATTTTACACAATTTTTTGCATATGACATCAATGCCTTGTGGTTTTTTTATGCCTAAGTTATACTATTCTTTTTTAGATTTTTTCTCAGAGGCCACTGTATTAGTTGATTAGCTTTTTCTTTTTATTTGAAATTAATGATATGATAATGTGAACAATGTTTAAACTTAAAAATTGTTTGACAATCATACCCAATGCTTTGCCTTTGCCAAGAACAACCCAGTCAGCGGAGCTGCAGTAAAAACCATGCTGCAACAGCACGGGTAAAGAATTATTGCCACCTGGGATATGATGTAACGTCAAGAGATAGCCGTCCTCCGTCATTATAACATGAGATTCCGCAGGATAACCCGCTTTTCTTATCATTTCCGGCTACAAAAAGACTGTATAAGAAAAAGGAAAACTGATCTGAACTGGGAATAAATTTGAGCAACACGAAATGCATAATGTATTTATTATTATAGACATATGCATGCAAACATACATATTTCACATTATTTTGAAATAAAAAAAAGAAAGAAAATTTAATGTTAATTCATCAGAGTATGAATAATTATATATTAAATCAACTCTCCAAAAGCAACAAAAATATATAAAAATATTATACTATTCTATGTATTTTTAAAGACTATGATATAGTATAATTTTGCGGAATTATGCGATTTTCGTTTTGAATAAGAAAACGCGGCAGATCACTTTCTATCATTTTCAACAACATTGCAGATATTAAACGAAACATTAAAGATTTTAATTTTTGTTTCTATGAATGAAAACTTTCATTTACCGTGTTGAGAATGGCATCGGGATTGAATTCGGGAGAGATGTTTGACTGATTCCAACTAGTCCATATTGTTCTCAGGAACAAACTTACCTCAGAGATTACATTTATCGGAAGCGCACTAAGATGACTACAAAACGACAGCAAATACATGAGCCCGATCAATTTCATTTCATCCATGAATGATTCAATAAATAGTGAAAGAAAACGGATAATTCGAGAATTTTTCGGAGTATCGAGATATTATATGTCGTTGAAAGTCAAGCGGAACATGCAAAAACTATGTAGATGCTGTTGCGCGACACATATACTAACTGTATTTTACACGTTGCGTATATTGGAGTGCACGCTGCATTCCAATATACGCAACGTATAAAATATAGTTCCTATTAAAATGAATCATTATTGTATTTATGATTATCTTTTATCAGCTCGCAAAAAAGAATAAGAAAAAGTATTATTAATCATATGGGCACAAAGAAATTTCGAAAAAAATATAAATTTATATATAAGCGGTTATCCTTGTCCTTAAGATGTGTACATATATAATGGCCAAATGATAAAGACGGAATAGTAACAAAATTAATAAAATTAAATTATAAATATGTAACGTGCTTATTTTCGTTATTTACCGCGGATAACTGCAGTCGTATTGATTAGGATCGGTTAGGCAGGCGTGAAAATTAACAGACGCAAAATTGATATATATAACAAAAAGGAAAGAAATATATTTAAAGAAAGAAAGATCTGAGATTACAGTTGTGTGCATGATGTGTGTGTGTGTGTGTGAGCGCGTGGGCGTCGCAAAAAAAACTCGGCGTGGCTCGCGATACGCCTCGTGCGCTCGCTCGGTGTTTCGTGGCCCGCGTGAAAATGCGTTTACAATTGCACGATGTTTTAGGGTACTTAGAACCAACGCTTATGTTTGACGTCGAGCGGTCGGATGCACCGTAAAAATCGCGCAGATAGTGTAAGTCCGGATTCGATGCGCTGATGCGTTTGCCGATAATGATGAATTTAATAACGATCAGCTGTTGATTCGTTTCGGTTGACAGTTCGGTCAATGAACGCGTGACGTCACGGCGCGTGCCGGCGTTTTTCATGTGCTTTTTGTGCGGCTGCGAGGTTGCGCGTAAAGCCGAGTATTTTCTCGGAACGCGTTGAGAATGGGATTTTTCTTCGGGAAAGCCGGGTTAACGGGAACCGCCCGCTTGGGATAGCTCTTCACTTCACCTCCGTATGTATCGGTCGGACGGGTGGCGGAAAATGGAGTCGTGCGTGGGCCGGGAAGATCGGGGAGATCGGGGAACGCCCCAATTTCTGATTGCACTCAAAGAAGGATGCGCCTACTTTTGCGAACCCTGGGAATTCCCAGGTGTGGCAGGGTACTTCCTACCTGGTTTCGTTGTTTTCGGCGTTCTAGGTTAGCTTGCTGTTGCGACTTTTGCGCTCGAGAAGCTCGGAAAAGAGTGTCTTTAATCGGGTAGTCAGGCTCTTTTTATACTGGGCTAATTAGGCCGCGCCAGCGTAAAATGTAGTTACCTCCGCCGAGCTGGCGCTAATCGTGACGGCTCCGTTCGTGGTGCGCGGTGGAGCCGAGCGCGCGGGGACTTAACCCGATCGTTCGGGCCCCGTCGACTGTCTTCGGCGTGCTTCGCTGTTTCAAAGCCTTTCTCACTTTGTCGTTAATGTTGCTACGTTTAAAAAATGTGGCGCTCAGCGCCCTGCCCTCGGCGGGTGTTATGCCGGGCGTCAGCTTCCAGCGATCGACGGCTGGGGATAAGTAGGAGTGCATGGGTGCATCAAAATAAATGTAAAATTAACGTGAAAATTGAATGATTAGGTAGAGATTTATTGCGATCGAACAGAAGATATATCGTGAGTCAGTGTGAAAGACCGGTGTGGATCCGATTTTGTAGAGAAGAATCGTCCCTTTCGGTACGTCCTCTAAATAGAGATTCTTTTGAGAAAATTGTCGTGATAGTAAAAGTAGTCCCGTCATATATAAGTGCAAAATGGATCTTCTTGCTTTTGAATATCGAGCCAATAAGCTCGTTACATATTCGATTATTACTATTGTTTTTCGTTACTACATCGATGGAGGTAATATTTTGCATACTTTTATCCTGACTTTCGGAAAGACGACAATTGTTTCGAAGCGAAAAGAAGGAGTTCCAAACTCCAAAATAAGAAGAGCCGAATAGTTAATACGTCGCTCTCTCTTGTTAGGGCAACATCTCATATTTAAATTTAAATGTCATCATATACAAAATAAACTGACAAATTTATAGCAGGTAAAAACACATATATATATATGAGAAATAAATTACTTTTAATCCTTAGATTCAACTTTTATCTATTGTTCGAAAAATTTGTTGCCAGTTCTTATCTCGCTTTTTATCTGTTTTTATTGAAATTTTCGAAAACTTCTGCCAAAATGAAATATATATGTACAGGGTGTTTCATCAACATACAGCTACATACGACGGATTGCCTGCTCATAGGAGCGCAAGAAAAAAAAAAAAAACTTAAACTTAATATAACTTAATTATTTTAATAATCCTCATATATATACATGATTGTAATAATATTATAATATTATTGCAATCATATGTAGATGAGGATTATCGATATATAATGTTGAAAGTTATATTATAATAATAATAATATCATAATATTATAAACATTCTTTTAAATATATACTTTCAAATATTCACGTCACAAGTTCACTATTCTGTGCAATTTAATTTTGTCTTCTAACAGCTTATTACGCGTTGATAGCGTGACAGCTAGTATACTTCGTCCAAAATGTACGCGAGTGATCTGTATTAGTGATCTATTCCTGCATTACACGGTAAAAAATATTTTGTATTTCTGTTAAAATTTCCTCGTGTAAAAATTTTTTTGTTAAATTTTTTTTTTAACATACTCTTATGTTAATATAACATATTATCATTACGTTATTTTGACATTGCTGCGTTAAGTTAATATTCACCGTTTCTAAGAGTTAAAACAACACAATTAATATGTAAATGTACGAATTTTTGATAAAATATGTTATATGTTAAAATGAACAGATAAGTTGTGTTATTTTTCTCTCTATAACAGTTTTCTTATGTTAGATCGACATATCTTTTCTGTTATTAATTATTAAAATGTAAGAATAACATTTTTTTTTAATTAAATTTAACATTATAAATATGTTAATTTAACGTAAACTTTATTTCCAGATAAAATTTAAGTGTTACACTTTTGTGTTAATTTTTAAATATATTACTTGTGTTATTTATTTACATACTTGCTTTCTGTTAAATTAACATTAAAATTAGAGTGGTTAAATTGGGACATGTGAAATATGTTAAATTTAGCACAAAATTTTTTACTGTGTACCGATCTTGCGCTTATAATATAAGATAATATAATATAAGATAATATTCTATATTGCAATTTTGGTAATTTATCTTCTACAACCTTATAATATAAGGTTGTAGAAGGTAAATTACCAAAATTGCAATATAGAATATTACACTAACAGCAAGCACTACATTACGACATAATATATATAATATACATGTTTATATGTATAATTTTGTATTGTTTAAAAATTTTTTAAAATCCAAGAAAATTAATTATTTTTATTACAATCGGATAGAAACTGTATAAAAAAATATTAAAATTATTATGCATCATATTATGTGTTTTATAATTCATTCAGAAAATGTGTAAGCGCAAAAATAAAATCAAATGACTCAAACACCAAAATGAATATAATATTGAACATCTAAAAGAGCCACAACATAAATTTGATAATTGCATATAAAACAAGACGTGAAAAGTAACTGGAAATTAAATGTTTCTAAATTGTTCCATCTATGAGTTATAAAAACAATTTTGTTTCCGAATATTCAACGCTTAGTAAACATTTTTAGATGTTGTAAAGAATACTAAGATATTATAAGTTTACATTTCATTGAATGAATGATTATAATCATCATTACAATATTACAGTACAATATTACTGAAAATCTAGAGTGTAACATTTATCTTTAATTTTGATTGTTGACAATATTATTCCATTGATGTAACGTTTTTTGGATTTTCTCCTTTCATGATCTTGAGAATCCTATCGTATACGAGTTTTGGCGCATCTTTTGCCCATATAAAATCCACATGATTAAATTTGGACCACGGCACTTTGTACATATCCACTACATTGGGCAATGAATGGTACAACTTTTTCACATCCTTGAAGATATATTTTTGTGAGTTATCGTATGCGATTTCTTTTAAATTACCTTTCCAATTAAGTAATTTAAAATTGCATTTATATACAATATTTATAGTCAAGTTATTCCTGTCTATATACTTTTCCATTATTTAAATAAATACTTATTTTCCATTACTTACCTCTGTGTCAATTAACCAGTCATTATCAGCGTAAAACAATACGATTGGTATTGTGATGTTAGATAAATTATAATTTGGTGGTTCCGTCAAATTATAAATCAATAGATTTCTCTCGCGACCGTAATTATACTTGCGAAACTTGCCTGATTCAAATACTTGGATGAAATGCAGTATAGTCTTAGTCGAGGTGCCGGCCGGGATATTTTTCAAGATGACAGGCAGTAGAGTCTAACAATAGATAAAAAATAATGATATATATGAAGTTCCA